ATGATATACAAATTCATGTGTGCATCTATATACTACTTATAAATCTTGTCAGTAGTACACGCCAAAATGCTATTTGTGACGTGTAGGTTCAAAAGTATATCGCTGTCAGCTTTGCATAAGAGAATAAGAAGGATCATTTTGTGTTGATTACTGAAAACTAGCGTTTTTGGTAACATTGCATCCGTAATCACTTAGCTTTTAGCCGCCACCAGTTTAACAAATGAATCTCAAGTATTTTGGTTTGAGCACAACCAAGTTCATACAATCCACACTATTTATTGCGTTCTTCTGTGTGGTTAAACAAACTTCCCTGAGTCATACATGGTCAGAAACTATATTCCAGGGATATCAAAACATGATTTAACGGGATAAAATCTGTATTGCTCACCAATTCAGTCTGGCAACTACGCAGCCCAGACAGTTCTTCGGTACAAGATACATATTAGGAATCGACAAGATTATTCCCAACAAATTGAGAAAGAACTTCTGTCCGCGAGAACCAAGTAGAACAAAACACGTTTCCAGAAGGTAGGGAACAAGCGGTATATCCACGAATCAACCTTGGGTTCACTCAAATAAAATATGGACAGTAGTAAAACAACACACGTAATTGCCAGCTGTCCAGTATCTGCGGTCTGCTGTTGGTACTCCTGTACGAGTTGTAGCTATCGGTTAATTCGAGAGTTCTTCAAAGTGATCAGCTCAAACTTAGAAAAATCTACAAAGTTTATCTGATCCAGTTGCGTGTTCCAAATAAGCACTTGCATTGCTTTTCTGTAGGCAGAGATATATTCTTCAAAAATGCAATCCACCCCGATTAGCTGTATTAAAAACTACTTTAATGCTCCATTATTCGACTTCTGCATTTCAATTGGAATTCACAGGTTTCGAAATATTTCTATTGCTGGATTGGAACATTTTCAGTCTAAGATTTTGGTGGTTTTTTACCTAGGTGTATTATAAAAGTATGTTGGATTTCGAAATTCCACATGCATGAGAATCCGTGAAAACCCGTGTTGCTGAGGAATATGATACTTTAGCATCAAGCGGACTGCACAATTTCGATAGACATGTTCCAGATCTCCTGTTCTTACAGGTGAATAGTCTTTTGTCAAGGCAAATGGCACGAGATGCATCCTTCAGTTAACCCAGACGTGAATCACCATATCCTATGTATGTCAAGCGATAAATACACACAGTTTAGAAATTAAGGATCAATAGTCACCTAACAACATCTGACGTTAAACTTTGTTCCAAAGTAAGAGGTTACATGTCTGAACTATATCACAGATATTTGTGAGATGAAAATGATTTCAAACACAATGTGGTAACCTATATCCACTTGCCCCACTGGCTGAATCATCGCGTGTACCTGTCATAAAAAAATGGACACAGAAAGCCTGACAAATCCAGATAATTTGTCATTTTGATAGCTGATGCCAAGTTTGTCGCAAGCGGAAATCCCACCTTGGAATTCCTGACTAGTACTGGAGAAAACTAAGAATCCTATAATGAAATAAGGTCGGGCTGTGTTGATGATATTCCGTCGTAAAGCCTTAGGCAGTAAACGGAGCTGAGAGTACAGCGTTTGGATGGGAAACCTTAGCTTTGAACCCCGAACTCAAAAATATAACTTCCCTGAGTTTTCATAATAACAGCTTTTATTCTGGTGGTGCTTATAGTGAACATTTATGAAAGATGTGTAAGAATCTGTCTTTGTGGTTTCATTTTTCATTTTAATATCAATATAAAACGTTCGAAAGAAGAACGCAGAATGGTTGAAAGCTGAATTCTAGAACACTTTATTACTTCTAGTCACGCAGCATCAGAAGACTCTTCGTTTAGAGCCATATATGAATAGGATTAAGGTGTTCGAGATGATTTCACTTGCATCCTCTTCATTTAGTCGAAGTTCTGGCAATCCATAAGAAAACACCTGAACTTGTGTTCGGAAATGTTTTATCCAATTTCTCTCTTTTACTACCATAATCTTAGGGTCAACTGTCTTCTCCTTACTTGTTGCAGAACAAACTCTACTTAATCCTTTTAATTGTTGTGGCCAATTTAGGTCAAAACTGAATCAATATCACATTCTTGTCCCATTCATTGAACAAAATTCCATGCGTGATCATGTCACGATTCAACACCCACTGACTGACTTAGTTTCAACACCGAAATTAGCAAAGAAGTGCAGCAGTGCAAGCTGACAACCTCCATCTAGCATAGAAACGTAGACAAAAAATTGGAAAGTGATTAAGAACTATGATAACCCGAAATGGCTCATGGGAAAATATGACCGTTTAGTCTATAAAGCAGATCATAAAAACTGAGCGCATATGCGCCACTGACAACGATTTTGACACATATCACCAATAGTCTCCAGTCATTGGTTCTTAGCATCTGAATAAATCCAACAAGGCAGTCCACACCTCCCAGGGTGGCTTACACTAACTTTTAAAGAATTCATGGACTACCTGGATGCTAATCGGGGAGAGAAGAGGCGGATATTGAAAAAGAAGATTGACTCAATACGAAGATACTCAACAGGAGAAGATGGTGAGTTCAATGTACACTGTACTGAATAAAGTGAAGGAGAGTGCTAGGAAAGACAAACGACAATTCTACGACGCTGGATGGCAACTGAAGCAGAACAGGCAGGCCGCAGGGAAAAGACACACCAGTTCGATCCGTATCCGGGAAGAGATCAACCCATATGATGAAACCCATAAAAGATGATCAAGGGAACCTAATAACCAAGGAGGAGAAACAAATCAAACAATGGGCTGATCACTCTAAAGGACCCTTGAATCGACCACCATCGGCAACTTGCCCAGAAATACCACCACTACCACCATCACACACAGAAATACCAACGAAAGAAGAAATGCCGAATGCGATCAAGCTACTGAAGTCCAGTTCTGAAGGCAGCAGGACCAGACGGCATTCCTCTCGAAGCACTGAAGACGGTCCCAGAGATTAGGACTGATGTTCTCACTCCATTGCTGCAAAAACTTTAGAAAGAAGGAAAGGTGCCTAATGATTGAAAGAAGGGCTACCTCGTCAAACCCAGTTAGGCCTGTGCAAGAACTGGCGTGGAATCATGCTCCTGATATCGCACACCAGGCCATTGCTCGAGTGGAATCCAAATGGGAAGCGACGACCGGGTTGTCGGTGCGATGGTGACATGGAGGGGATCGTCTGGCGAGGAGGAGGGGATGAGAGATTATGGTCAATCGTGGACCCAGCTGAAGAGGACGGCAGAAAACAGCACAAAGTGGAGATGTGTTGTTGAAGCCGTTTGTTCCACTCGGAATGCAAGGGAATAATAATAATTTATTGGCCCCCAATCTGCATGTCATGAAAAAGAGTTGAATTTTTCAGTCCATGAAGCGCATTTTGATGCTCATGACGAGGATGAATAAAGTTTTCTCATCTGCAGAATTTAACTAACTTAATGTAATCACCTAGGTGGAGAAGAGATAACAACTATCCACACTTCTATCTGAATCACTCAGTATTCAGTATGTTCAGTGAATTACTTACAACTCAGCATGTTTGCAAATAATGAATATTATGCGTATTTTCTCATGAAATCTGACCTAATTTTATCAAAATCATAGTTTCAAATCGTATATTTATTAACAAAGACACATTCTATATTTCCATGACCCTTTGAAATTCCACATTTATGCACACAAACAGTAAAAGATTTCTTCCTGAAACTCATTCTATAAACATTTTCGACTGATTTTTCTACCCTTAAATTCATATAAAGCTTCAAACGGCGAATTTATAGTTTATTCGATGGGAATGGTATTTTTAGTATTCGTTAAGTACTCCAATCTCTGAAACTAGAAGCTCATTTACACAAATTCTCTATTGTTATTTCATTCATCATGGAAACGAGTATGTCCAAGTCGGTCGTAAAGCATTTCTAAAAAGTTTATATTCCTTCTAACATTGCTGTTTATCAGCATGTGTGAAGTGTGTTACTTTTCACGTTTAGGTTCAATAAAGTATCCAATAACTGGAGACATTTCCCATGCATATAAAACTCAACAAACACCTTTTGGTTGTTTTCCTATTAGGGACGATTATTTACAGTTAGTAGCACGTTTACTCATGATGCAGCTAAACATCTTTATATTTTTCAACGACACTTTAAATTGGCGAGAAATTTGGTTAAGCGTAGCAGTGAACTCAAAAGCCTTAACTTTTCCAGGATTGTACCGCATCAAGTAATCTACAAGGCCCAACTACATATCCGATTCAAGTCTTCAACTGTTGATATGAAATGAGTTAGGTACTCTCGTCTCACACTGGACGTCTGACAGTAGGAATGCAACCCTGGTCAATATAACGTTGCATTAGCCTCCGATTGGACATGGTGTCTAGAGTTCACTCACGAGTTCGAGTCTGAACGCTGATTAACTTATTCTTGGCAGAATTCATTATATAAAACCACAAAGATAATGGCATAAAACACTACACAGTGACTCTTTATATAATTTAGAAATTGCATTGAGATGTTCCACCACCTAGTTTGTTACATTGAAAATCAAATGCTAATAACTGATTTAGTATTGTCTCGTGGAAAATAGTATAAGTATTCCGACTAGCTGAAACTGAAATTAAGAAGAAATAAAAGTACAAACAAGAAGTACTATTGATCACTTAACAGATTACAAGTTATCAATATTAGTCGCGGAAACAAAAGCAGAATCAAGATAGGCTTTAATCAGACTATTAGTCTGACAAATAAAAACATATACACAGTAGGAAAACGAATATTATGTAGTGACCGATTAAAACCAAATGTACATAGACAAATGAAAAAAGCGTTAAATAAAGGATGTAAATTATTACGTTTGTCTCAACAGAAAGGTAGAAAGACTATCAGAAATAAGTCAATCGACAAAACATGCCTACCTAACCTAGTAGACACGTTAATTATGCTCACAACGAGATAAAAATTACTGACGACGGAGAATATGTGAAATGTAGATAAGTAAGTAAGTAAGTAAGTAGGTAAGTAAGTAAGTAAGTGAGAATTTAAACTGATGGGTTATATACAAAAGGTATCCATAGCAGATATAAAACAAATTCTTCCGTAAGTGATGTACATAAATAGAAATAATGCAGTGGATATTTGCAAATAAATATAATTTCGTCAAAATGAAGAATGGTAAAAATTGGGAAATAAAATCTCATGAAAATAATATACATATTTACAAAATTAAAATTTCTAAATTAGAAATATATTATATTATAACATAATACATATTATTTATAACATGTAAATAAAAGAAAAGAGTAATGATATTATCATCACATCAGGTTAGTTGTGTAAGTCGTGTGTATTGAAATCTCGTTCGACTGTGAGAGATATCGAAAACAAATAAAACAGTATGATGATTAATTTTGTTTCGGGGAATGTAATTTCAATTAAAAGCATATTGTGTTGTTGTCGATATTCAGATATCTAACTCAATATCTGAATGAATTAAATAATACATATCATTATCAACAGTAAGATCCATTCTGGTAGACATTGTATATAACATAGTTAGCATTGCAGTCAAAATTGAAAGCATATATTATTATTATTATTATTATACAAAAACAAACGTTGTATATGACAAGCTGCCATAGGAGTAAAAAAAATACATGATTAAAGGAAAGAAATGACGAATAAAATCTTTGATACAAAAGTGAGGATAGGGATGATAGGTAAATATAAACTAATATATTATTTTATTCAGCGAATACAGAATAAACTTTTAAAAACCTGGGAGTTATTTGTTTCAGTTTTTTGCTTGCAGAATAATGCACATGATGCGCTATTCAAATTGTGAACAAGATCTATTGGCCTATTGGTTGAGAATTTCGATGAAGATTAATAATCAGGATCAGATGGTTCAGACTCATCAGCGGAATCACTTTCCTCTCCACTTGAACTGGCTGCCATCTATAAGAGACAATAGTTAGAACAACAGCACAGTTAGCGAACAAACAAATATCCTGTGTTAATTTATCATCATCACCAAAACAAAGTTGTTGTCATAAAAGAAACTTTAATTCCATAAATACAGAACGCTCTGCATTCCGCATATACATCCATCCCTTTGGCTTGCTGAAATGTGTCATTAAATGTAATTTCAATATTCACAAGCTGACAAAAATGCTTCAAAGCAAATGTGTATTGTTGTCACTCAACACACTACGAATCTTAAATAAATTTATACGACTAAGTACCAACCAATCTAATCAGTGTAATGTCTACTATTCTTTGAATACTGATAATAGACAAAAGTCAAAAGATCAGTTTATTTAGAGACGATCGCTCTAAAGAGCAGCATACAATTATCAGTTGATACGATATTATTCAGACAATAATTTAAGAATCAGCAGGAGAGATAAGACTGAGCTAAAGGCTCAGTGTAGGTGTCCACTAAACATTCCCGGCCGACAACTGCTACCTTGCCGTGGTGGTCCAGGGACTTGAATACCGCAGTGACCCAACAAGCTAAACTGGCTGGGACTCATGTCCCTCCCTGCAGGTCCTACCATGTCAGGAAGGTTGTTTGGATAGCGGTTAGACTAAAAGCAGTTACCATGGGATACATGGGCTCCAGAATCCAGTCGGATCAAATGGCGTATGAACCCATGTGGGGCACCGGCAACCATGGGAACGCAGCTCCGCTGCCTTGCGGATTAGACTCCAAGTCAAAGGCTCGGCGAGTGGTCCCTTAAGAAAACCACCTGCTTCGGTCTGGGCGCCCCGGCAGTATCTCAGCCCTCACACAACAAATGAAATAAAACAACAAACTATTATTGAAACTCACCACGCGCTCGTAAAAATTATTTCGAGAAATAATGATACCTCAAGCAACTTATGTCCTTCCAACCTTACTTTTGTTTTTATACTTAGATTCCTGTATTTTACCTTGGCTCACCTTGACTTCTTAACCTTCGACAGCCTTTCGCCTTTGTCTGGATTCCTAGCCTATCTGTGTCGTTTCGAGATGTTAGTGAGTAATCCTCAAAATGGTTGTCTCCAATGTGACATCTAACACAGATCTCCTGAAACCGTGTGCCGCCTTCAAGCTGGCCACCTACAATGTTCGGACGCTGATGCAAATCGGACAACAGGCAGGGTTGGTAAGAACATTGGAAAGCCTCGCTATCGATGTCTGCTGCATTTTGGAGACCCGCATTCAAGGTCCCAGTGAAGTGCTTCGATTATCCTCTTCATCTGGAAGTTCTAGTAGTATGTACCACCTGCGCTTGTCTGGGGACCCTGTGGCGTCGGCATCCGGCGTAGCTGGTGTCGGTGTCGCACTGAGCGCTAGAGCCAAAGCTGCATTGCTCGACTGGATTCCCATTAACAGTCGCTTATGTGCTGTGAGGCTGGAAGGTTATACGGAAGTAAGGAGTAGTAGGCCAGATAGGCGGTGTCTATTTGTTGTCTCTGCCTATGCACCAACGGATTGCAGGGAGGATGCAATGAACGATGATTTCTACCACCAACTTAGCGATCTCTTGAGGCAGGCGGGTCGGAGGGATATCGTAGTGCTGGCTGGGGACTTGAATGCACAGGTCGCGCGTCTGAGCTCAGAGGAGAATAGTCTAGGTGATCAATGTGGCCTACATGGTCGCAGGTCAGATAATGAGGACCGTCTTCTGCAAGTTTGCGCGGATCACAACCTATTTCTAGCCAGCACCAACTTACAGCACAGCCATCGACGTAGTGTTACCTGGCGTCCTCCCTCTGCGAATCAAGCTTGGACTCAGATTGATCATAGTGATGTCAGTTTCCGGTGGCGAGGATGCATAAAAGACTGTCGCTCTTTCTGGAGCACATGTCTGGACTCCGATCATGCATTAGTGTGTGCCAAGTTCGTCTTGCGATTTGGTGGGGTTCATAAAAGGCGTCGTCTAAACGTTGATGTGAGCAAACTAGTAGCACCTGCTACTTCTTTGAAATACCAGAAAGAGTTACAGTCAATGCTTGCCAGCAACCCCCCAAGTAGTATAGATGAACATTGGCTTCATCTGCAAGGTGCCATGCAAAGGGCGAGTGTAGCCGCTTGCGGCTTGATAGAATGCTCCACCAAAAACCACTGGGTTCCTGCCAGTTCCTTGCAACTCCTGGAAGAACGTCGGTCCATTCCGACTGGCAGCGAATACAGCAATAAGCGGAAGGCACTGACGCGCAAGATAAGACAGTGTTTACGTAAGGACCGCGAAGCCTGGTGGTCAGAACGTGTGTGTGAGATGTAGTCAGCTGCTGCATCTGGCAACAGTCGGAAGCTGTTCCAACTCATCCGAGCCACCGGTAGCAAGAAACAAGGTGTCAGCGAGACGGTCTGTGAGGCAGATGTTATTATATTTTTCGTTTAATTCCTAGAGGAACATAGGGCTTCAGCCGCGCCTCTCCATTGCGTTCGGTTCTCTGTTAGAGTTTTCACCTGGCTCCAAGTCTGCCCATACGCTTTCGATTCTTCTTCACATGATCTCCTCCAGGTCACCCTTGGACGACCAACTCGTCGCTTCCCTTTCGGGTTCCACTCGAGCGATGGCTTGTCTAGTGATGTCACTTGATGGTTTCCTAAGAGTATGGCCAATCCATCTCCATTTCTCCCTGCCTATTTGTTTCACAATCGGTTCCTGCTGGGTTGGTTCGTTCCCAGAGATTTTTGTTGCTGATCTTTTCTGGCCATCTGATATTGAGTATTGAGCGAAGACAACTGTTAGTGAAGCTTTGTAGTTTGTTTGAGATGCTCTTTATGACGCGCAGTGCAAGTCTCTGATCCGTATAGTAGCACTGACTTCACATTGGAGTTGAAAATCCGGATCTTATTTTTGACGCTGAATGCTGTTGACCTCCACACAGACTTGAGGGTAGTGAAAGCTTGTCTTGCTTTCCCGATCCTTGCTTTGATATCCTCGTCAGTTCCGCCTGTAGTTGAAACGATGCTTCCAAGGTAGGTAAAGGGGGTTGTTTCTTTCAGGTTCCTCCCATTTATGCTGATTGTTGTCAGTTGTTGTTGTTGCTGTTGGTGGTGTTGCCCAGGAATTTTCATCACCTCTGTTTTCTCTATGTTCACCTGAAGTCCTATCTTTGATGCTTCTTCTCCTAACTTGTTGCTTTTCGCTTGCATGTCTTCCAGTTTGTGGGAAATCAGACATATATCATCGGCGAAGTCCACATCCTCCAAGTTTTTTGTGTGAGTCCATTTTATGCCTGTTTCCTCATTGCCCGCTGTTTGTCGCATTATCCAATCTACTGCAATCAGGAAAATCATTGGTGATAGTAGGCAGCCTTGTCTTACTCCTGTCCTCACTTAGAAGGATTCCGTAAGTTTCCCGTTGCGGATTACTTGGCATGCAGCATATTCGTACAGCTGTTGGATGAGATGTATAATTGTCGGTGGCACCCCATAGTAGCGAAGTAGTTGCCAAAGCACCTCTCGATCGACGCTGTCGAAAGCCTCTTCAAAGTCGATGAAGTTGAGCTAGAGAGGTGACTACCACTCCAAGCTTTGTTCAATGATGATCCGTGGTGTGGCGATCTGATCAATGCATGACTTGTTTCTCCTGAATCCAGCCTGTTCCGGTCGAAGTTTATCATCCAGAGCTTGTTTGAATCTCTCCAGGATGATGCGGCTTATTGTTTTGCTTGGGATAGACAGGAGCATAATTCCGCGCCAGTTCTTGCATTGACTTAAGTCTCCTCTCTTTGGTAGTTTGAATAAGTATCCTCTCTTCCAATCCTCGGGTACTTCGCCATCTTTCCACACCTTCTCCAGTAGTGGCGTCATCAAGTCCGCTGTTGTCTCTGGACCCATTTTCAATGCTTCTGCTGGGATTCCATCTGGTCAATCATAGGGGTATCAGTCTGCTACCAGTCGGGTCTAAAATATTGGCTGCTGTCTTGCTTCGCAGGCTGTGCAAAATACGTGAGGGATTGATTCGCGAAGAGCAGGCTGGGTTTCATTCAGGTCGTGGATGCATTGGTCGGTCGGTCGGTTTTCGACATAGAACTTTGCACATATGTGCGGCAGTTCAAGTCGCCACACTCCATGTAGCACACAAAAGCAAGAGAAGAAAGTAGAAGAACTGCATAATATAGACAGTAAACATGCATTGATCATGTGTTCACCCTTCGTTAGTTGTTGGAACACCGCCACAAGTATTGTAGGCCAACGATCGTTGTGTTTCTTGATATTAGGGCTGCCTTCGATTCGTTGGACAGAACTGTGCTCTAGAACTGTCTGTTAGAGAGAGGTGTACCTGAGAAATTTGTTAGCATCTTGAAAGCCCTATACAGAAACACATCGGGTAGAGTGAATGCATACAACCAACTATCATCACTGTTCCCAACCAACAGTGGGGTTAGACAGGGTTGCCCAATCTCTCCATTTCTCTTTAACTTTGCCATCGATGACATTCTGGAGTCAGCTCTGAAGGATGTGCGTGAAGGTGGTGTAGATCTGCTACCTGGAGACAGACTTTTCGACCTCGAGTATGCAGACGATATCGTCTTACTGTGCGATAGCATGCAGGCTGCCCAAATCGCACTTAATCAGTTGGCGATCAGTGTCTGTAAGTATGGTATGTGGTTTGCACCGTCTAAGTGCAAAGTACTGTTACAAGATTGGCAGGAGCCTGTGCTTGCACTCACTCTTGCAGGTGAACCGCTTGAAGTTGTCGATAAGTTTGTGTATCTGGGTAGTTGTGTGAGTGCTGGTGGAGGGGTGACGGATGAGATTTCCAACCGTATAATGAAGGCTAGGGTGGCATACATCAACTTGAGCCACCTCTGGCGCCGTCGCGACGTTAACCTGAATGTCAAAGGCTGTCGGGTTTACAATGCTTCGGTGCGGGCTGTCTTGCTCTACGCATGTGAAACCTGGCCTCTCCGAGCTGAGGATGTGAGGCAACTCTGCATGTTCGATCATCGCTGTCTCCACAGGATTACTTGCATTCGATGGCATCATCACGTGAGTAATTCTGAGGTTCGGCGCGTGTGTTTGAACACAGTGGAGATCACCATTCATTGAGTGTCGTCATCTGGAAACACCGGCTCCGGTGGCTTGGACATATGCTGCGAATGTCATCCCAGAGGCTTCCGTACAGGTCTCTGTTCGCTAGCCCTGGGACGGGATGGAAAAGGTGGGGGGGTGGTCAGTCCATGACGTGGCCTCGTGGGATGAAGGATTTTTGTGCTAGATTAGCATCGGTTGGTGCGTCACGACTCCCTGGCTGGGGTCCGCGACATAGCTCGAATCGATGGCTCGAAACGTTATCGGATATGGCCAAGAGTCGTAATCAATGGCGAACGTGTTGCAATTTCCTCCTTTCTTCCCTTCCTGATGATAGTTAACGAATACTGTTTGAAATTGTTGAACATGACTTTTCCTTCCAGATGAAGTTCTTTATCCGTTCTCTACCTATATTTTTACTTTTAATCTATGTTGTTTTATTATTATTGTGTAGCGCATCTTTCTTGGTGCCATATTGTACCAAGTTTTTTCTGCGTTTAAATAAATATATAACAAAATATTCTTAATAGTTCGAACTTCGCGTTCGTGATGCTTCCTAACAGTCTTGTGAGATAAAGCATTTTCTGTGTGCTACAAATTATCAGAAGTACAGAAGTCGCAGCTGAAATTGTAACCGGTGTCATGCGAGTGTTTCTACACTTATAGTTCTGTTCAAACACAAACATCGTCAGTGGTTAATCGTGTAGAAGTGGCTTTTTCACACATAGACATATATGTGATGAGGCACTGCATCATGAATAAACTGAAAGTTTGCAAGAGATATCGACGAAATGCATGACAGCCGCACAATGTTTTATTGATTTTCTACAAGTTTGTCTATCTAATCGACTGGAAGTACATTAGTATTCACAACAACTTATGCCTATAAAGGTAGTGATTTTTTCATCTACTACATTTGTCGACTAGGAAGGAAATCAAGTAGTGAATTCAGAAGGTGAGTGACTGAGGGTTGTGCAATGATAGATTGCTTCACGGTTAGTTTCACTCGTCTTCAGTGCGCTTCTGTACAAGAGTGAATGGTGCCATCTAGAGCTTCACACGAAGAACGGAAAATGATGTTAGAAATCTTTACCAATATATCAAACCCGGAATGCACTAGCAGTGACATGGTTTTAAAGCTAATAAATATTTATAAACAAAACAGAAATGTGATCAATCTACTTACAGTGCATCGCTTTCGGCGTCTACGTTTCTTCTTAGTATTCCGGTTGATGGGATTCCTTATAGCGGTACGTGCACCGAGAGTTGGCTTTCGTCTCTTCGTTGGGGCCGATTGAGCTAACATAAGACGGGAAGCACCACCAGCCTGAAAAACAACAAACAATGATGATAGAAGCATTATCTCGGAAAATGATTAATTAGTTTACATCTAGTACGGTCAGTTACATTTGCAAAAAAAATAAACCACATGGAGAAAGGACATTTGCAACTATTTATATAATTAGCATTCCCTTGGGTTCTAAGTGGTATACAGGGTTTCAGTTGCATATCTCTCCATTCTATTCGCCTTTACGCAATTCAGTTCAAATGGACCGCTGAGCGCCTGCAATCTTTCGTTTTCTCCTTACATCATTCCTGTCACAGTCGGGGACATCTAACTTCACATTTCTGCTAACTTGTTGGTCTTCAACAGTATAATTCAGAATTCGTGTCACTAAAAAGACAAAACCCTTATGAAATCCAGATGTCGTATGGCTTGTTGTAATGGCTATCCTCCCAATCCTCTCAGTCTGTAGTACGATCCAGCCCACCATACTCAGGAACATAGTCGGCAATATCAGGTAGTTGTGTCTTACTCCTATCTTCACCCTTAAAGGTTCCCCTGAGCTTTCTGTTGAGTGACGGGGAGTGAAATCTAGTCTCGCATCTATTGTTGAAATTCACTGTCTGTCCGTTGCGATTTGCAGTACTCTGGTCGATTAAGTAGTTTATACTGTAATTATCTAGGCCATGTTTTTGTACACAAATGGCAACTTATCAGCTGTCGAGTAATACATGAAAAAAATGTTGCAATGAGTGGCATTGAAGACTTCTGATTTTGTCAGAGATTTAGTGTTCACTGGTAGTTCTGTATCTGTTGTTGGTACTTCCGTACGAGTTGTAAGTGGTGCTTAATTCGAGAGTTCTTTCAAGTGATCAGCTCAAACTTTCCTCTGTTCAAACTCCTCGATAATTGGCCATCCTTCGCTTTATTTCACTGACTCCATCTGAGTTGATCCCATTCTGGGTAGCGATTTGATCATCTGACACATCAATGTAAGTGTAGAACTTGGACACTGTAGTAGGATGTAATTCCATATTGGACAAGTTTGTATTGCGGAACCGTGCGACTGAATTAATATGATTAAGAGCAATAAATTGTGCTCGAAATGTCATCCAGTTATTAATACTGTATCACTGTGATACTTAAAACAAGCTTATCTAATATCTGACACAATGTTGTAAGGTCCTTGATACCTGTAGTTTATTCAGCTCCAGTTTTCAGTGTAACGTGAAACTATCATCTGTTTTTCCCAGAACTTTTCTTTATTCCCTTGTCCATTGCACTGCAAATTGACCTCACCTTCTCCTTCAGTTATTGATTGTATGAACGTAGCATTCGGTAATTGAATCTATCTCACCAATTGAGTGTAATCTCAATGGCATTATCCTGTTGAAAGTAGCCTACCAATGCATTACAGCCCTCCAAGCTAATGGTTATAATCGCAATAACCACTCTCTCAATGTGTTCGTGGTTATCGTCTGGATAAGCGGTGTAGGTTCTTAATTCTCCAGGTATTAGTTCCGACAGTTCACTTCCCTTCCATCAGCATTCACTGATTCATAGCACTTCTACAATATATCTTCTCCTTTTGCCTGCAATCTCATTAGCTTCATCAGCTTCGAACGTTATGCAAAAATTCCATGTCTCCATGCTTATATTTACTTTCATCGAAAGAAGGCGTATCAGTTGATTGACTTTGCGAACGCTTTCGCCAGCCGGTGTCGTCTGGTCTCTCTGGTTCTAGTGAAGAGTGAGTATCTTCTACATATTTTCCTATATTTTGAAGCTTCTGCAGTGATTGGATTAACTTTTGAAATAGGATAACTAGTCAAAGGCCTAACATTCTCCCTTTTCCTCGCTTAAGACGGGTAAGCAGACTAGTAGGTTAGTTGGAGTTCATGAGGCTGAACAAAACGAGATGGAATTCCGACCTGGGAACTACTCACTAAGCGTTGGAGTGATTACGCCAATGAGCCACCTCACAACAGTTTCGGCAAGATCTTTAGTCCCACAGCCAATCTTCGCTCTTTTTCGATACTTAGAACCAGTTAGGAAACCAAGTTAAGTTTTCATCCATCAGTCCCAGGGTTTAATCCATAGACTCAACTGAGATAACTTAAGTCCCGCATAGAGTGAAATACCTACAGTCAATAAGGCAAGTTTTTTGCCACTAAACACCTAGATGTGCACATGACAGCAAAGCGATTTGACATATACGGAAACCACAATCCACAACACATTTAAATTATCAATATTGAGGATGTGAAATAAACTTACTAACACGAGAAATAATACTTACGTTTGAGTCATCCGAATCATTATCTTCCTCTGAAGATTTATTGTGTAACTGAGGTACCACTGTTCTTAAAGACCGACCTTTATTCAACTGAGCACAGTCTGTGGGGAAATTAACATAAAAGTAGTAGTTTTAGTAACACTTTCATACACGATGTATCAGAATAAACGTTTCAGTAAATTCCACAAAAAACAAGCTATTTCAAGTTAGTTGAATTACCTGAAGCTGTATTGCAAGGATCGTCAGCGACTGTTCCACCAAGAGATTGTAATGAAGTATTCAAGTCTTCTGCTCCTAATTCTTCTTCGCCAGGAGGATCAATAGTAAGTATCAGCTTGCGGAAATCGAGATAATCTTGTACAAGGGACTGCATTTCACTCGTACATTCAATATCCTCGTCTTTTTCGGCAACATCTTCAGCTGATAAGTTTTCCTCGGTATTAAGGTCACTTTTAACAGACGGCTGTGAATGAGAAACAAGCTCCGATTTGTGAAGTTCCATCCCAGCAGCTTTCAAGCATGGTAAGGGATGAAAATGAACACCAACGCGCCGAGTCAACGGCTTCTCCCACAACTTAGCTGAATCTGAAGGCGAGTAACGCTGAATCTTTCTAAAATACACAAAAGACGACAATGGTAATTCAGTTGGAGGTCAACCACTCATCTGATGTCGACTCATCTACTAGAAGTAAGTGTTCAAATAACAGAAAAATCCATAAAGTGTTCGTAGATATCACAGAGGGATCATGAAGAATAAGTTTAAATTTCATGCATTTCGAAATCCCTGTCGAAACAAAACAAATAAACACTTCCAATAAATAGTGTATGGAGTTGGAAAATATATCTGGAATGTTACTAAGAATATATTCCAGGTCATCAATAGTTCGCTTGAAACAGCAGAAGTCGACTAGCACTTACTAACCTCCAATGTCAAGCTATTCAAAAGTAATCACCACTGATTCTACATCTGACTAGATAAAATGGCAGGTTTCCTTCAAGCTGGGTCTTCCCAACAGTCTCAGATACACACTTTACTATTTCTTCCCTAAATAGAGACTTCATGTTCTCATCGAGAAGTTGGGGCGTATCGGTTTCATAGGTGCTTTTATTCTATGTCTGTTCAGACGTAGGCATGCATACTCATAAAATGGCCATATTAGCGTTCTGTTTTTAGCAGCAGCTACTCTGGTTGCTATTAATCACCTCACTGTTCAGAGAGGATGAAGGTGATGAACATGATTGTAAGTGATGATGATGGTGATGATGACGAAGTTTTGTGTGGAAGTGGAATTGAGGGGGTATTTACTGCATCCTAACTGCTCACACCGTGGAAGTTGGATTATGTGTACTTAACAGTGAACGAAAAAACGCAGTGAAATAATCGTTAAATGTTGAGCATCTATCAGTTTTCTAATTGTTGTTAATCTTTGATAAAATCTATCCGGTCAAGACTGTTTGAAACTATTTCAATTTGATAGAACAATCTTAATCTGGTGAGATGAACGAAGTTAAGACTTATGTAATTCATTGTCCCCAGTTGGTCTAGCCGATTCCTGTTTGACATTTTAACCAAAATAAAGTGATATATATATATATATATCCGTACTATCAGTACACTTTGTAAATGAATAGGAACAGTTTCACTGTATAGACTAAAACCATAACAGTGAAAAATTCGACTATCATGGCTCAAAATCTAATGAACACGAAAAGTAGTAGCAATCATACATGAATACTTGATGATTTGTAGCTGAGTATGAGGTAAATATATGTGTTTGCATTCCACTAATAATTAGTAATTATAAAAGAAATCTTGGGGAATTTATGTTAAAACGTAGTAAGGTAGACAGTGAGACACTGCACACTTACCCATCAGTGATACAGTATGATTCCTTTAGAAATTGTTTAAGCGTCAATAATAAAACACATGCACGACTTGTACGAATAGCATCTCGCATTATAGGTAGAGTTGTCTGACGTGATTTAGATAACCTGTCGAAGAGTGCAACTGGATCTTCCTCTTCCTCTATTTCAAAAGGACCCAAATCAACCCTGGAAAAACCTAAAATAAAAGCATATAATTAGCGAAATAACAAAAAAGAAATTCCAACCAACAAAAATAACAAAATTATTTGCATAACAGCATTTAACTAGCTACTATTGATACAAACAAATAGGGCGTGAACTTACTTTCGCGTCCGGAAAGGGTGTTGGAAGACAGCTCAGTCGTGGATGAGCTGCTTCCTATTACTGCGGGGTTAGACGAATTCAGACTGTTTATGCGTTGGATAGTATGCTGAATTTGATCGTTGAATAAACCAGCTGTAGCATGATCACCTCTGCTGAGAGCTTCAGTTGAAGCAGCGTGCTGTGCCTGAAGTTCGGCACGTAATTGCATTTCCATCTGCGCTCGGTTCTTCGCATCAGCTTCAAGCTGAGCAGCGACGACAGCCTCAAGAGCTGCTTTTAACTCTGGGAAAAGTGCCTCACGAACATTATTCAGAACTCCCGAACCTGCCATACTAACCATCAAATCTATGTGATGGACAACAAACAATGGTTCTTCTTGCGATTGATAGGGAAAGTGTGCCAAATTATCAGCAACATAAACTAACTGACTAAGAGAAATCCTCTGAAATAAAAAGAAATGACTAATTACAATCTGAATAAGTGAAAAAATATGCAGTTTGAAAGTTACTATTATATGCATTGCTGTTCAATAGCTCACACACTGAATTTGCAACCAACGTATTGCTAGACATTATAATTTTGTTCCACTTACTGATATTTCAGCAGTTCGGTACGATTACCGGTTCTCACACGAGAGATGCAGTCAAAAGATAGCCGATTGAATAAGACTGTATATGATGGCAAACTTTCCTACTCTTTTATTTAACTTGACAATGCTTGTTAACAAACCAAAAAACAAACATACACCCTACAAATAGCTGTAACACATGTTTCAATGAGACAAAATGATTGGGAAAAAACCATTATGTGCGGGCATTAGAAATACATATTAACACACACGAACCTGCGAGTCATCAAAGAGTGATATGAGGCCGTTTAGTAGAGAACGACGTTGACTTTTATTATTTCTCAGCATAGAATACAAATTTGAGTTGAGAGCAGTAGGGACTTCACTGAAGGGATCTCTGGTCCCACGAATAGCACCAAAAGAGTCTTCCGGAACATTGAAAGAAGATTGGTGATCAGGAACATTCGTAGGCAATGTACATCTGGAGTTATCATCAGAACCTAAGCTATCAGTCTCAACTTTATTGCGACTACTTCGACGGACAGAAATAATGTTAGTGGACTTATGAACACTTGATAATTCAGGTGAGCCAATTTGTTGTGAGGATCCACTAGGATTTACTTTCGGTTTCTCGCGCAGCTCATTATACAAAACAATTTGGAGACGATACGATAAATTCACACCCTGTGCAGCTCTCATCTGTAAGAGATGAAAAAATGCAGAGATGTTAAATATGAAAATGCAAAACAAAATTCTAAAAGTAATTTAAAAATTATACTTACCGTCAAGAAACCAGGAAATTTCGTGTCGATTTCTTGAAGTTGAGCATCAGCTTTAATACGTATATTTGGATCAACGTCGGTTTGCATAGCTATCAGATAAGGTACGGTTTGGACTGGATGAATAAGACCTTGACGAAGAATTGTTGTGATAACTGATAAGGCAGTAAGACGAACAGTGAAAAATGGTGAAAAGAATGACTCGAGTATGTCTCTAAGATATGTTTGTGCAACTGAGCTCCCCATACCTGAGGCGATATCGCCCATTTCTTTTAATGATTCTTGATGTTGTCTAGCCTTCCCTGCAACACACGAAAATAAACGTAATATTAATATGAGAAATATAAATTTCAAAGCTGTTTTTTTCACAATGAAACAACAAAGAAATGTTGAACTCCACGTTGAACATTAACTAGTAAAGTAACAGTTGGAATTTAATTGAATGACAGGATAAAAGGAGAATAACAGTTTAGATCTACTTCGATTTGCCAAGTTCTGTTTATTTAACTACTTTAACACATGCGATTCCGTTAATCTTTCATTGCATCCACTCAATGCATAACATTATTTCTTTCTATCAATTTCGGGACATCATTAGTCCAAATATTTTTTTAACTGTTTCTCTCTTTTGTTGTGTAATAACTAGTTTCTTTAAAAGCACTGTCTTCACAATTCCGTGTTTTATTTATTTTGATTACTCACCCATGTTTCGGCCTATCTTCATAAATCCTATCAGCTATATATTCGGGTTTGCATTAAGTAAATTATACTTTTAAAAGTTCTAAGGCTGCATGAAAAAATCCAAAAAAATAAATGTCGAATTCAGGTACAAATATTATTTTTGGTCCGCTGAATTCGTTGAATATAGGAGACAAGAATCATATTGATTACTAGACCGGTATATGAATGCATGCACACAACAAAAGTAACATGATCTACTTATGTGATCCTTATTTTAAGAATACACATTTTTATTTTTTTTTATTTTGATTATAGCTTGATTCCACACCGTATTTTTTGGTAGAAGTATGAAATTTTCAGCATGTGATATCGGCAGACCAAATATGGCAGGCCGACGATTGATATCAGGTGTGTCGGTAGGGGATCAAATCTCGGACCATATGCATGATCAGCGAGAGTCCTAACCACTGTGCACTGACGTAGTGGAGTAAGCGAAGATGAATCACGAATATGAAGGCAAAAAACACAAACTACTAATATCACACAGTGAATTTCTAGAAATGCAAATTATATAAAAACCAAAAACCTACATTTTGCGTCTGCTTCTAACATTCGTTTTTCTTCCTCAAGGAAAAAATTTAGCAAATTCTCTAGTACGATGTACTTTAATTCCAATTGGTGATCACATTGTTTAGACTTGATATCATCACACGAAGCTTGCAAAAGATCATGATAAAATTTGCATAACCGAGGACCACAGAGTAACTCGTGATGACGAGTACAGAGGAAGCCTAGACCGGACAATGCCTTCTTCCGCATCTCTATATCTGATTTGACTTGTTCAGTGAAAAACATCAATGTTTCAAACACCTGATCTCGAATATTAGACTGCAAAGGAAACGAAATGAATACAAAAAGTGAGGGATTGGTGTGTACATTTCCTTGAAATCAACAACAAAATGAGTGACACCCAATAACCCATAAAAACCCATGACACGTTCTATTGCTTAAAGAGTTAAACTGAATGCTGTAGAAACCAAATATAGGAACAAATAAGTTTGTTCATTATAAGTAGTACACAGCAAAACTTAATTAATATGGGACAAATAATACTAATTAACTGGCTTATATGTAATTAAATACCACTGCAATGACAATAAAATTAACTCAAAAACTAACTTACAGTTTTGCTCGATTGGAAAACATCTGCGTCAAAGTGTTTGCATAATAAACCCACAGTGAACAAAGCACGAAGAATCGTAGGACGGATAGTCGGACAAATTTTGCGTTCTGGATCATCTGACAGTTCGTTACGAAACTTTTGAAGAGCGTTGAAAAATCGCGTGAAACAATCTCTTGCTAAAGAGTAATTTTTTGAAACTTTGTTAACAACTGCTCCAAGACACGCAACACAAGATTCCAGAACCATTTTCCCATGGCGCAGTGTTAGACGAACCATATCTTCTTCAAGTTGTGCCACAAATGTTTCACTAGGATGCTCCACCAACGGTAGCGTAGCTTCTAATATCCTGGCGACATAATGCAATACCTGAGCATCTGAAACATTATTGCACCGAATTGACAAATACGGTTGTAGTACCATGGTGTATTGTACCATTAGTTCCGGTCTAATCTTGGTCAACAAATGAAGTGTTGCTAAACACGCGACTAGTCTTTGATTGCTTTGGCTTGAAATCTCTATAATTGTATTTAAAAAGGATATAAATTTGCTGATAAAAAATGAGTTTTTTGAACTGATATTACATTGCAAAGAAGATGACTCATTTTTCGTGCGCAGGATAAGAGCTTGAATTCTAGTGCATATACGTTTTCCGACTGAAGACTAGCTATAACACACTCTAAGTAGATGAATTCAGAATATAAGGTAACAGATTACGATAGGTTAACTATTATATATATATATATACATATATATATATATATATACCGATTAAATAATATCAGCGAACCATAAATTAAGCAATAGTTCTGGAATATCTATGAAGAAATGCTTTTTCTAACTGTTTGCATTGCACATGACAATGTAGACTATTCGTGATGCATGTTTATCTATTACTATGTCCACAGTAAATCAGGAAACCACCGTCAACTCATCTCACCTACAGTGAAAAATTAGAGTTTAGACAATGGTTGGGTTATTTTTACTTGGAAGGCATTACTATAGGTAAACAGCTAAAAACAAAACAAGTGTTAGATTTAAAGTAATCTCACCTTCCAATCGCATAATATTTTGAACTAAACAATCCGCTATCTGTTTGCATGCCTTTTCGACTGGTTTAACTTTCTCAGCCTCTTCCTTTTTCAGGAGCTGAAAAAAATTAAATACAGTATGCGAAAAGTGAAAAGTTAAACTTATTTACATTTAAGAAACCCATCAAAAAACTTCACACCCAATAATGGTGAAACTAATCGCATGTTTAAAAACATGAAAGCCTATCATTTGTTTTGTGCGTCGGTGGCACAGCGGTAGAATGCTCGCCAACCACGCAGGTGGTCTGGGGTTCAATCTCCAACCGACGCACTATTCTTTACCTCACTAAACCAGCAATAAGACTGGTTAAGAGGGAAGGTTGGACATGAGGCTAGCAACCCCATCCCGTAAAAATAAGCACCACTGCTACCGAGACTTCAAGCCTCTAGCTTGAAGCCATATGTTCCATTAGGAACGTATAGGCATAAAAAATCATTTGTTTTACATTAATTAAACTGAGACGACACAATAAAAATAACGCACAATAGTGAGGATCAAAAGTGGTAGAAAAAGAAGTACTTACAGTTCGTAAAAACTGTTCAAACCATTCGTAACCAGTGTCCTTACAAGCACCAACAACATCCGTGATATTCATTACCTTTCGTAGCAGCTTCACAGTTTCCCTTTCACGTACCGGAGTAAACCACATTGTTTGAAAGACCTCATGAACAAGTTTCTGACAAATAAAAGAATACGTGGAAACAAAAAACGATAACGCGTGACGGCTAACATCGAATTCTTAACACATGTTGATAGTCTACCAAGTTTATTTTCTTTGAGAGTGAGATTTCAGTCTCGTCCAAACGTGATAACCTATGAGTATAGATACTTATTTCAATGAGTATGGATGTAAATCAAAACGTTATGTCGCACAGGACCCAGAATAAACTAAAAACATATGACAACCACATGCACACCGAGGGTGTGGCTATCATGATTTCACCAACGGCGACAGAGGCCCTGATACAATGGGAGGCGATCTCGCCCAGGATAATGACCTGGATATGATAGAAAAGATTTGTAGCTCAGGTGGATGATTTTGATGTGAGTCACTTCAAATTGAACTATGCGCTGAAAATATCGCCTAGTAGGGCGATGAAAGCTTCGCGAATTAACTATCCAGCTCAGAGAACACAACCACATTAGGATAATGACCGCCGGATTCAACTCCAAAGGAAGAAAAGTGTTAATTATACAGTGCTATGCACCCACAAACAACGCAGACCTCGAAAAGAAAGAAGAATTCTACAGACAACTACAGGCAACAATGGACAATACTCTAGTCGGCGACATTAAAATACTAATGGGAGACATGAACGCCAAACTGGGATCAGACAACACAGGAAGAGAACTCATCATGGATAGAGAAGCTCTCGGAGAAATGAATGAAAACGAAGAACTCTTCGCCGACTTCTGCGCCTTCAATGGACTAGTGACTGGTGGCAGCGTATACAAACACAAGGATATCCACAAGGCTACATGGGTGTCACCAGATGGGCGAACCAAAAACCAAATTGACTTCATCTCAATGCTGCTCAAGGAAGTGGAGGCACAGCCTACTGGACACAAAAGTAAGAAGAGGAGCAGACATTGGCTCAGACCACTATCTCGTACAAACGACAATCCAAATCAAATTAAAAGCTTTCAGAGAATCAGGAGCTGCAGATAGACCACAAGCCAAGTTCAACACTCAGAAACTGAAGGACCAGGACACAAAGGACATCTACATTGCAAGCATAAAGGACAAAGCCGAGGCACAAATCAACACTAGCGAAAAGGTCAGCGTCGAAAAGCACTGGAACAACTTGAAAGCAGTGTGGAGTCAAACCTGCATAGAAGTTCTAGGCAGAAAGAAGAGACAGGACAAACAGTGGCTCACTACGGACACTTGGAGACTGATAGAAGAGAGAGGGATGGTGAAACAAAAGATTCTTCAGTGCACCGACGAGCAACAAAAACAGGATTTGAATGCAAACTACAAGACACTGAACAAAAGAGTAAAGAAGAGTGCCAGAGAAGACAAAAGAAAGTATTATGAAACCATGGCAAGTGAAGCAGAACAAGCTGCAGGCAAAGGAGACCTCGCAACACTCTACCAAACAACTCCCGACCGAAAGCTGCTACCTTGACGTGGTGGTCGGGCTTGAACACCGCAATGACCCAACAAGCTATACTGGCTGAAACTTATGTTCCTGCAGGTCCTACCATGCCAGAAAGGTTGTTTGGATAGCGGTTAGACTAAAAGCAGCTACCCAATCCAATCCTATGACTCAAACAAAATCACAAAATATCATACCGGATCGGCCGGGGCCCGGATTAACAACGACCAAGCTTCCTGCTGCCGTGTCACAGGGCAGAAGTGATAAATACGCTACTGAGACACACCAAATGAAAAACAACAAACAAATACAGGCCGTGTGTGACCGGCCTCAAGCAGTTGTCCCCTGGGCTCTGCGGTCACGCAACCAACTTCCACGGTGTGGGCAGCCGGGAAGTAACAATCGCCCTCACAATCCCAAGTGCACACGAAACCTCTCTAATTCTCACTCACCTTTGTCTTTATCTTCATCTCTATTATCTTGCCTTCATTCTACTAATGCAACTCCTCTACTCGATGGTCCTTCACTTCCTCTTCACTCTGTGTGCACTGATAACGACGGAATCCAAAAAGCCACCATCGATAGTCTCCTAAAGCCACGTCACCAATTTCATATAGGAGCTTTTAATGTTAGGACACTCTGCCAAATAGGACAACAGGCATCACTAGCCATTGATGTATGTTGTGTTTCAGAAACACGCATACAAGACCCAAGTGTGGTTATTCACCTAACCCCACCTGGCCAACAGGATGAATCTGCAAAATTCACCTTGAGGGTGTCAGGAGATGCGACGGCTAGCTCACGAGGATTAGCTGGTGTTGGGATAGCTTTGAGTACTAGGGCAGAAAAGACATTACTTGACTGGATCCCGGTAGATAGCCGAATGTGTGCTGTCCGTCTGAACAGATCAGTGAAAAGGAGAAACGACTGCACTACTCACCGATGCCTTTTCGCAATCTCCGCCTACCCGCGCCCACTGACTGCAGTTCGGATGAAACGAAGGATGAGTTCTACCAAAAGCTGTCTAGTTTGCTGCGAAAGGCTAAACGCTCAGATATAGTCGTTTTAGCTGGTGACTTTAATGCTCAAGTGGGGAAATTGTGTCAATCTGAGAAGAATGTCGGTGGCACATACGGAATTCCGTGCCAGCGAACCGACAACGGTGACCGTCTCCTACAGTTCTGTTCAGATAATCACTTGTTTCTTGTAAGCACTAACTTCAAACACAAGGAGAGACACTGTTTGACCTGGCGACCCCCATCATCAAACCAACGCTGGACACAAATAGACCACATAGCAATAAGCTATCGTTGGCGTGGGTCGGTAGGGGATTGTCGCTCCTTTTGAAACACGTGTGTAGATACCGATCACGCACTGGTCCGCGCTCGTGTGTGCTTACGACTGAACGGACGTAGGAAACAGCTAGCGGTAAACCCATCACGTCCCCAGCTCGATCAGGACACTAAGTCCCTATTTGAGGAAGAACTAGCTAAACACATATCTGATTTCGACAGCTGCGCTCACCCTGAAGAAGCCTGGAAGAATATTCAGTCAGCCATAGATACAGCTGTAAAAGCTGTGAATAAGGTTAATCCAAAGGTGAGGAAAAACCATTGGATTTCGACTGCCTCATCCGAACTGATAGATGCTAGAAGACTTATTCCGGCGAGCTCCGAATTCAATGAGGAGCGAAAGCTGCACAAAAGGAAACTTACGAAAAGTCTCCGCAAGGACCGTGAACAGTGGTGGTTGACAAAGGCGAAAGAGATGGAAAAAGCATCGGCGATAGGCAACACTAGGCAACTCTTTAGACTCATCAGGGAAACGGGTGGGAGAAGGCAAATCATAAGTGAGACTATTTCTGAGAAAAATGGCTCCTTAATTAGCTCTTAGGATAGACGCCTCGAACGCTGGAAAGAACACTTCGAGGAACAGTTTAACTTGCCTACAGCCACACTGAGCCTCCCCGCCATCCAGCACACACCCGAATGGGACATAGACACTGGCCCGCCGTCTGTAAGTGAGGTCACCAAAGCTATCTGTAACTTGAAACGAGGCAAAGCGGCATGACCCGACGGAATTATTCCGGAGGTGTTTAAATATTTTTTTATTTTTATTTTGATTACAGCTTGATTCTACACCGTATTTTCAGTACAAGTATGGAATATTCAGCATGGATATCGGTAGCCCAAATTTACAGGCCGACCATAGATATCGGGTGTGCGCCAGCAGGGGATCGAACCCCGGACCATGTGCATGGTCGGCGAGAGTCCTAACCACTGTGCCACCGACGCGCGTGACATACTAATATGTCGATTAACTTAGGTACTAGGTAACGTCTGGGAATCAGAGACGGTTCCATCAGACTGGGGTAAGTCACTTATTATACCAGTATTCAAGAAGGGAGACAAGTCCTCATGTGATAATCATAGAGGAATCAGCCTAACGAACATAGTCTCTAAAATCCTAGGCTCAGTAATCATGAACAGACTAAGTCGAACTCGGGAGGAACAAACGAGGGAAAATCAAGCGGGCTTTAGGCCAGGTAGAGGGTGCATAGATCATATCTTCACTCTCCGACAGATCCTAGAACATAGACACACTTTTAGGCGTCCAACAATTGCCATATTTCTTGACTTGAAGGCGGCCTTCGACTCCGTGGATCGAGAGGTACTATGGCAATGTTTGACTATGAAGGGAGTGCCAAGAAAGTACATTGCACTAATCAAGGCACTCTACTCAAACTCACGTAACCGTGTAAGGGCTCATGGGGAATTGTCATCTGAATTGATAACAACCAGTGGTGTCCGTCAAGGATGTCCACTTACCCCTTTTCTGTTTAACTTCATCACAGATATGCTAATGGAAGTATCCTTAACTGAACTTAACGACTTAGGAATCGACTTGTTACCAGGGAATAGTCTTATAGACTTAGAATACGCAGACGACATAGTCCTGTTAGGGGAGGACGCTGACAAAATGCAGAGTCTTCTGAACACCTTGAGCAGCAATCTTCGTATGTTTGGTATGCGATTCGCCCCTATGAAATGTAAGATGCTGCTACAGGACTGGACTACGTCAACTCCTAGCTTAGTGACAGGGAGTGGAGTGATAGAACATGTTGACCACTTCACCTATTTAGGAAGTTGTATCAGCACCAACGGATTGATTGGTGACGAAATCACAGCACGGATCCAGAAAGCTCGGGCTGCTTTCGCTAACTTACACCGTCTCTGGCGTAGGCGTGACATCCGGCTGTCAACCAAGGGACGTGTATACTGCTCAGCAGTTCGCTCCGTCCTTCTCTATGGCGGAGACGTGGCCACTGAGAGCGGAAGACATGAAGAGATTTTCTGTTTTTGACCACAGATGTTTACGATCTCTTTCTCGCGTTAGGTGGTATAATGAGGTAAGTAATGTTGACGTTAGGCGTAGAGTGTTGGGCAAAGAGGGAAAATCACTCGAAGAGGCTATGAAGTTACATAGATTGAGATGGTTAGGTCACGTGCTGCGCATGCCTAACCATCGCCTCCCCCGACGGACGGGCATTACTAGCTGATATAGGTGCAGGTGAGAAAAGAGTAAGTGGTGGCCAAACAAAAACATGGCATCAATCCATGAAATCCTTGACAGTTAAACTGAGTCAGGTAGGCAGATGCAGACTTCCCGGTTGGGGTCCTCGGGACTCTAAGAATCAATGGCTGGAGACAATAGGTGACATGGCTCAAAATCGTTGTCAATGGCAAAGATGTATTCAGTCTCTGTAATCTTTCATATTCCTTTCTACCACTACTCATTCTGTTTCACTCTTATACTTGTCAAAACTCTATTGATTCTCTTCACTCATCTTCTTGTCTACGTTTGTGTGCTATTTGGAACGTGGCAACTCGAACTGCTGCACTTCGGTGCCAAGTTCTATGTTGAACCCAGCAGCAGCAGCAACCAAACAACTAGGCACCTATCGGGCAAAAGTTTGACACAAATTAAGCCAGTGAAGGATGACAATGGTAAGTCAATCATCAAAGAAGTGGAGCAAAGGAAACACTGGGCTGAACACTTCAAAAGACTCCTAAATCGACCACCACCCACAACGCGCCCAACAATACCAATGACGGAAACACAGCTACCAGTGAACACCAACCCCCCGACGAAATCAGAGGTCCTGAATGCAATCAAGATGGTACACTAGGATTGACGGTTTGAGAACAAAGTCGTACTGCTGGATAATACAGGTATAGCAACACTGAGCAGTATCCCCCCTCCACGACGACCATCTTCGCTGTCCCTTCGAACTGGGAAGAAGGGGCGAAATTCAACCCGAAAAACCTTACAACCCAACCAGATCCAAACCGTTGTCCCATAAGCACTTTGGTCCCCTAACACCCAAGGACTTTCTGCTTCGGGTATCCATAGAAGAAATCAACCTCCACAGCGTGGATAGTCAGGATGCAATAAATGTTTACTCAGTTCTACCTACAATCATCTCTGTCAACTTCATCCTCTCAATAACCACTATAAACATTATTCCACTGGTGTCTGACTCACATTCTCTTAGCAATGAGGTTATTAATAATAACCAAAGTCAGAAAACAATACTTGTAGTTCCTTAAAACCACGCCGCCAACTTCATATTTCAGCATTTAACGTCAAGACTCTTTGTCGAATTGGACAACAGGCCTCACCAGTCACAATTCCAGAATCTCGAGGCATGGGTATATGCTGTGTCTCGGAAAGAAACACACAAAACTCAAGGGTGGTTATTCACTTAACCCGACAACCCACCACCTGAACAACAGGAATACGCAAAATTCACCTCACAAGAGACAGGACATTCTTCGGCTAGCTTGCATCGACTTGCAGGTGTAGGAATAGCAACCAATAGTGGGGCAGAGTAACTCCTATTGAAAAGATCCCAGTAGATAACCGTTACGTGTGCTATCCAGGTGAATCGAACCATTAGAAGAAGAAAAGACTGCAATATCCATCGGTGTCATTTTATGATTACCGAATCCAGCCGACCAACTGAAGTCCGGATGGCGTAACGGCTGAGTTCTATCAAAGGCTGTTTGGTTTGCTGCTAATAACCTTAACCGGTAATCGTGCCGAACTGCTGAAATATCAGTACCTAGTTAAATGCTGTTGTGGAAATAATTTTGCTATTTTTATTTGGTTGGAATTTCTTTTTTGTTATTTCGCTAATTATATGCTTTTATTTTAGGTTTTTCCAGGGTTGATTTGGGTCCTTTTGAAATAGAGGAAGAGGAAGATCCAGTTGCACTCTTCGACAGGTTATCTAAATCACGTCAGACAACTCTACCTATAATGCGAGATGCTACTCGTACAAGTCGTGCATGTGTTTTATTATTGACGCTTAAACAATTTCTAAAGGAATCATACTGTATCACTGATGGGTAAGTGTGCAGTGTCTCACTGTCTACCTTACTACGTTTTAACATAAATTCCCCAAGATTTCTTTTATAATTACTAATTATTAGTGGAATGCAAACACATATATTTACCTCATACTCAGCTACAAATCATCAAGTATTCATGTATGATTGCTACTACTTTTCGTGTTCATTAGATTTTGAGCCATGATAGTCGAATTTTTCACTGTTATGGTTTTAGTCTATACAGTGAAACTGTTCCTATTCATTTACAAAGTGTACTGATAGTACGGATATATATATATCACTTTATTTTGGTTAAAATGTCAAACAGGAATCGGCTAGACCAACTGGGGACAATGAATTACATAAGTCTTAACTTCGTTCATCTCACCAGATTAAGATTGTTCTATCAAATTGAAATAGTTTCAAACAGTCTTGACCGGATAGATTTTATCAAAGATTAACAACAATTAGAAAACTGATAGATGCTCAACATTTAACGATTATTTCACTGCGTTTTTTCGTTCACTGTTAAGTACACATAATCCAACTTCCACGGTGTGAGCAGTTAGGATGCAGTAAATACCCCCTCAATTCCACTTCCACACAAAACTTCGTCATCATCACCATCATCATCATTTACAATCATGTCCATCACCTTCATCCTCTCTGAACAGTGAGGTGATTAATAGCAGCCAGAGTAGCTGCTGCTAAAAACAGAACGCTAATATGGCCATTTTATGAGTATGCATGCCTACGTCTGAACAGACATAGAATAAAAGCACCTATGAAACCGATACGCCCCAACTTCTCGATGAGAACATGAAGTCTCTATTTAGGGAAGAAATAGTAAAGTGTGTATCTGAGACTGTTGGGAAGACCCAACCCGAGATGAGCCTGGAAGAATAACCAGTCAACCAAACTAACAGCCACAATGAGACTGACTCCGACGGGCTATGAATATGGGAAGATCAGATATGGGCATATACGTGAGAGCCTAATAAGGATTCCCACAAAGGCCGTGAACAGAGATGGGGTGAGAAAAACGAAAGCGGTGGAAGAGCATAGAAGGTAGGTGACACCACAGATTCCAAGATATTTTTAGATAAGTTTTCAAAAGTTTTAAGACCAGTTGTCACTCATGTCACATTGGAGTCACAGTCGATAACGACATAACTCCTCAATTCTTATCTAAAAATCCGATCTCTGGTAGTGGTAAGAAAACTGCAAATGTTAGCGTGATGCAATCGTTGTCCACTTCCTTCGATAACGTACATGTGACAGCTTTGCCCTTTCCAATTAGTCGCAGTGAGCATTGAGGAAGCAGATGAGTAACATTTGAAACAGAATCTGACATTGTAAAAAAAAAATACTGACCTCCACAATCTTCGAGCGATAGTCACAGAATTTCAGTCACTCTAACGCTGCTTCCAACTGTTCATTTCGCCCTGTTTCGAGACTTTTTCAGGTAGTATACACTTCTTTAAAACTAAGTCAGTGACTACATGATTTAGGAATCAATCGACTTCAGATATATGTACAACTCACAAGTTACCAGTTTGAAAGCACAGAAAGATATGTTACATGTAATATCATTAGTCCGTATAGAAAAGTGTAGCCCGAAAATGGATACTGAAACATGTAGTGTTGGTGGCTTGTATATTGTGTGCATACTTCATGCAAAATGTGTCACACGGCTATAGAAATTTATGTAACGAAAAAAAGTATAGTGTTATATATTCGTAAAAGTAGCTAACTGACTGAGGCTCAGGTGTACAACTAATGAATGACATGAAAACAAAACCATATAATAAAACAATACGTAGTACATAAAACGAGTGTTACCTTGATTCCTTCTTCATCATTCACACGTCTAATCATTTTAACACATATTTCTGCAACTCTTGGAAAATCTGGTTGCTCAAGACAGATATCGCGAAGAATCCGAATGACTCGCTTGCGGACACTGACACCTTTATCGCGTATACGTTCAGCTAACATTGGATAATACTGAGCAGTAAGCTCAGGTCTACAGCTTAAAAATCGACCAAGTAAATCTACAGCTGCTTCACGAACAGAAGTTGAAGTATCTAAAAGGCGAGAATGTACAGCACGTTCGATATCCACTCTAGCTAAGACATTAGGATCAGCCTCCACTACAGCTGACAAACACCTCAGCGCTTTCGTACGAACAGCCACAGATGACTCGCTCAACAACTGAAAGTGAGTAATAAAGAATGAACACTTGTAGAGACAGAAGTGTTATTAAAATGTGCAAAAATTAATGGCAATATGGTGAAAAACAGACCGAACACAAGGAACAACTTATAATCACCATTAATTCAAGAACTAGATTACCCGTCACACATGCAATGTGATATAACCCTAAGTAAAGTTTTTAAAACAATGATTAAAACAAATTAACTTAAACCAAAAGTAACAGCTAACAAAAAGTCTGATCATGCGAATAAGACTACAGGCTGACTGTAAATACAGAATCGATTTAGTAACTGACAACTCAGCAAGTTTCAATCTTCTAATACTTGAGTTTGCAGAGGAAAACATTCTGACGAATTGTTAATGAAAGATAACGTACTAAAATTCCCATGAAAAATATAGGAATCACAAAATGTACTGAAGGAAAACATGAAGTCCCTTAGTGCTGCTAGGAAAATACACCCATATGTTGGCGAAAAGTTAGGACAGTTTGAATAGAAACTAATTTAGTTGGCAAAACAAATCTTTGCCATTGTTCAGTTAACAATACGTCTAACGTGCGAGGAAAACAACGAAATAGAACTCCATTAGCATGATGGCCTTTCTTTCGAGGGCATCAGAGAAAGTGAACTAACCAACATAGTACAAGACAATAAAGAGTAGGAGTGAATACTAGTTTATTAAGATCTCATTTGTTGGAAATCATTTAAAATAGAGAAACTGTACCTTGCAAATTTGTGATAAGTAAACATCAAAACTTTGAGAAAATGGACGAAGACTTGCGAGATAGCGACACACCAAACAACAGTCTTCATAATCTAATGTGCCTTGGAAAACAAGTGTTGTTTCGTGAATTGCATCCGGGCTGCAAATATTTCCAGATTGCTTTTGCTTCTCATTAAGTGGTAGTGAATTGTTCCAGAGACACCTACGCTGTCGCCAAGCTTGTGGGGCTTCCCTCACCTTCGATAAAATATGTTGTCTCCTTCTTTCTGCAATCGCTAAAACTATTTCCTGATCAACGTCCGACAAGCTTTTGGTTGCACTAGTTGCTTCGATTTCACCATTCATTATTGCATTCTGATTCTTCTTCTGTATCACACTTCGTTGAGCCCGTTCTGTTTCCTTCGTACAATCATTAAGCCACTGAGCTAAGTAAAATTTTCGGGCATACTAAAATCAAAAAGAAGATAAACTGAAAGTTGCCACAAATGAGAGGAACAAACAGAACTTGTGATGATAATAATGGAAATATATAGTAGGTTAAACAAACCACAATCAACTTATACATGAATCAGTATACACACAAAAGTAACACGCGACCAAAATGTTGGCATGAAACAACTTTAGCAACAACCTACGTCATATAAAAAGAGAATATTTATTTTATGTCTTTATGGCATGAAACATGAATACGTGAAAGAAATAGGCAGAAACCAGTATGGTATCTAGTTGTATCACAAGTGACAATAACAACACGCAATAAACGGATTATGCATAACAGTTATGAGCCATCTACCATCCAAAGAAGGAATAGGAAGGCAAATGATCGACAACTTACTAAAATAAAACTTTTCACTGAAGCAATAAATTTGTATGTAAACCTGAGGTTCTAGTTCACATAAGTGAAAATCTTTGCATAAGTGTAAGTACACGCCTAATAATTATTTATGCCCTAGCATAAAATACAAAAGGAAGTGAGTAAAAAGCATGCTTATAATTCAACTAGTAATGCACGTTTGTCCTGGAAAATTTTCTCATTAAATTTGGCTTCACATACATTTCCCCTTCTTCTCTAGTAACTCCGTGAATCACAAAGTATGTACTCAGTTACTAACCCTTTAAGCAAACTAACCCACTTTGACGTGAGGACTTTATCGCGCTTGTTACCTGGTGTTATATAATGACTTCTCGATTTCTCAGCAATTCTGGTGTTTAAAACTCAGGCTAATGTAAGTCATCACCAACTAGTAGGATACAAATGAATAACGGAGATTGTTCACAATATTTCAGTAGCCAAAACAAATAAGAATATATAGTGCAACGTGCACGTGATACATTGGATTTAGAGCTTGACCTTCGCACAGTGTCCCCGGTAAGATTTTTGTTTATCCTACTTTAACTAGGACGGCTGGCTAGCATTACCAGCCCTCACGGGATAAGTGTGAATTACACCCTAGTATATGATAAATATGCTCTAGTAACAGGTCTGAGTATACCTCAGTTAAGATAACACCACAAATCTGGATATCTGTGTACCTAATAGTGTGTGTGGGGGACATTTAATCAAGCACCTCTTCCAATGAATTTGCTCTACGTCAGACCAACCTTTCGACGATTTATCTTATTTGACTGACTAACAAATTATAGTATAAATTTCCACATAGTGCATCAATTTAGGCTACCAAAAATTGAACGAGCATATATAAAACAGAAGATAAACATAATGATACTAAAAATCAAAAAACACACATGACGAAGAGAACAACTAAACCAAATTTAGTACACTAATCCCCTTCACTGTGAACGATCTTAGGCAATACAACGGAAAGTTCCCCACCACTAATTTTGTTCTACCTTACTTAGATGATAAACTTATTTAAAAGTTTGAGACATCCAGTGTTAATCACGACAGACAGACTTTATGACAGTACAGCAATCAATACAACTTTACCTTGTTGTTAATGTTAACAGACAGACACGTGACAGTTCACCAATCAGTATGATCTGACCTTTCTCTCGTGATTATTGTTTAATCTAATGTAAACGCCCACCACCTATGGATGAATGTTGTACTGTGTGTGTAAACTAATTTGCTAGCAATTTCGCTCCACAAGTCATTACTGTTCGGTACGTTTTTACCTTTCATTGAATGACGGTTTCCCTCATGTTGCTACATTTGTGTAATTGTATTATTTACTTTATATCAATCCATGATCAACTCATAAAAACAAAACCAATCCTTACAAACCAACTATAGAAAATTATATTTTAGAAACAGATAAAGTTTATGTTAAATCGCTTGAGTTTTAACCATAGCAAGGTCAAAACGCTGTATCGTCAGTATTGATAGTGAGGACAAAATCTGTTGGCAAAAGTAATCCTACATTCAGTCAACGTATGAATATTGAATAAACATTTTCTTTCAATGTTAGTTTTTACAGACGCAATCAGAGACAGATACTACTAGATTATTCGTTTAAAGAGGTTTAATACAGTTAGATAAGGCCATTACTTTCGCATTTAAACATCTCATCATATAGATAATAGACCTAAGGGATCAATATGCTTTTTTAACACACTTGAATTCTCAAGTGTTTCGTATTCCGGCACAAGTTGTCTTCTAGGTTCACTTTGTAAACCAGGTGTTTTTAGGTAGAGTTGATCAACATTGTAATATGGTGATTTGAAGTTCACATTTCCTGTAAATGTTGATGGCTACAATTTTATATGAATATTAGTCATGCATCGTGTGCAAGTGAGTTTTAATTCGTAACCGCTGATCATGTGTTAATAACGTACATCCAACTGATGCTCGACTAACATATTTCAGACGAAGCTTGAAATTAGTTACTAACAAGCAGAAAACTGGTATCATAACTCATACACAAGATCCAAAGGTTACTCACATACTAATCAATCTTAAACCACATACTTCATGGTTGATTGATAGTATCTAATTGTCACTTGACCACGGAAAACTATGGAGTAACAAAGGTGGAGGCTCGAATTAATATAAGTTACTGTTCTTCTAGTAATTACAGTCTACATAAGAAAATTTGCGTCAATAAAACTTTACTTCAACTCTACAATAAAAGTGCTTCAAACAAATCACGTGTAGGGATAGAATACACTTACAACTGCTGTGGGGCTGGCCTCCTCTGCTGCTAGGTAGTCTAAAATGGCATCACGTAGAGCTTGAACCCGATCCAGTTGTGAGATAGGATCTACATGTTTATTTCTTTCCTCTTTTTTCTGTTTTACGCCTTTGTTTTTAACACATTTTGCTTCTTCTACCTTGTTAATGGACTTCAAGTTTGTACAGTTGTAACCATTCCCATTAGGATACTTTGGAGTTTCTGTAGTTGATACAGAATCAACTGAATGAATATCTGATTCTGACTTATTTTTATCTACATCCAAATTAGATTCGTGTTCACCGTTTATATCTCCCGTATCATCAGTTTTAACGTTGTCCTGAGAATCTTCTTCGGAGTCATCTTCATCGTCATCCGACTGATTGCCTTCAAGGAGGTCGCGAATAACAGCATCGACATCGTTTTCCTTCAACTGACTAGTTACAGCATCACGACGTAGTGTGGATGCCACTGTTCCTAGGTAGTCGACACTCGCAACACGAACACTTTGATCAAGTGATTTGTTATTGAACTGTTGTACCAGAAGGCTACCAAGAAGACTAAGCATAACCTCCGAAGCCGGCCATTCTGGTTTATTGACGGCTAGAAGCAGGTCATTAACAAAATTCTCAAATATAATTCTATAGTCATCTTCACCTTTCATTGTTGACCTAGAGTAATTGAAGAAGGAAGTGTTACATTGATAGATGGTAGCAAACAGCGTTAAATTTTAATGAGTACAAAGAAATTATACTGAGATGAATATTTTCAGAAATTACAATAACTTTACAATTTAAAAGACACATTTTAATTTGAAAAACAATGATGAATTAAAAATAGTGAACTTACTTCCGAAGAAAAACTAATAGGAAGGTGTGAGCTGTACGAAGAGCATTGTGATAAGAATTGATAATCGTAACTTCATCATCTGCCTTTTGAAGTGTATTTCCATCAGATGACGCAGCAGCAGTAGGACATTGATAGGGAGCGTGGGAGTTGTCTGAATTCATTGGTGACGGGTCCGGGAGGTTCACTACAGACTGCACTAACAATAGCGCTAGCGCAGTAAGCATTTGAATACTATCCTCACTATTTAATCTGCAATTCGGAAAAATCAATAATAAGTTTTCATAAGCAGGATAAAAATGCACTAAACTAAACCAGAGGTGATTATATCTTACCCATAAACAGACTTAGGTGGTGCCTAATACAATTTTAATCAAATGGTCTACGAGAAATAAGCAACTTTCCCTAGATTTTAAGACCTAGAAAGATTGACCAAACAGGGAAAAATACATTTTTTTAACCCAAAAACTAATTGGCGGGGAATTTCTCAGAAAGTTTCAATAATTTGTGGACAGAAACTACTATCTTCTGACACGTTATTTCACATAACCAATGGATCAAAGCATATTTTATTTTTGTCCGAAACTCTAAGGGATAAATCACTGCAGATAATAGCATGGGAGTCAAGGCCTCCAGGAATGACTTTGTACAACCCAGAGAAACTTCCCAAAGTGCTCTTGTGTCTACTCATCCAGTCATTGGTAGATAAGTCTTATTCAATGCCTTCATGTGGCTAAGGCTTTGTGCACGTAAGCTTCGACGCAATTATAAACCCCCACGACATATCACAACGGATAGTGTAAGCTACACATCCAAACACTTACTTTATTACAAATGAATTGTTGTCATTATTTTCATACATGAACTGCTTTGTTTTATTCGTATTCGTTCTTGTCTTTATTTTCAGCAGGTGGTCAGTGAAATTTTAGTATGTATGTACTACCTCGGTGACTAAATAGTAGATCCACAAAAATTGTTCTTCGTTAAAATATTTAACACAGTTTTTCTGATGCCATGTGCCAGCTGAAATTATTGCGCAACAGGTGGGTTAGAAGAGCTTGGAGATGGCGATAAGAAATTGTGGATTGAAATAACTTAAGCACAACTAAGAGCACGACAATCTGAGAGAATTTCATTGGAATGGTCTGCATCTTCGTTTATCCGAATTCATAGCACAGACAACAAAAACCTCATGTGTTGCTACAGAGAGATTAACTTGCATACTGCATTATCTAAGACAACGGTCATGAGTGGAGTTTCGGAAAGACGAATCCCAGAAAACCAGATAAGTTTTAGGTGTGGACGATAGTTTCTGACATTTGCCATATTTTTTAATCGGAGAGTAGAATTCGACTTTGACAACCGATTTCGGCGAGAAAGATACTACATACGAAACTACCTAGTATTAAGAGAGCTTATAGGGAAGTGGTCAACTGAATCGACTAGTCATGTCCGTCGAATGCCGCCGTACTTGTTCAATCGGAATAGTGTTGTACTGATGAGAATGAATGTGCGACTGGAAACTGATTTCCTATCCGGAGACGCTCTCATGAACTAAGCATGAATAGCCAAAGTTCTGGTTTTTTGACTTGTTTTCCTCAGATGATCATGGCGCAAAACCGATGGTGTGCACCAAGCTCTACTTTAAGAACAGTGGATAAAGTGTTCGAGTGCGTGAATTACATCAATCATCTAGAACTTCAGAAGACTGACTAGTGAAAAAAGAATTTAGAATTTAGCGAGCCTTGATAAAGTGGTTTATTGCAAAAATGTTCATTCAGACATCTATAAAAACAAAATAATCGAGCAAAGAATATTCTTTTCGATAAATTCCTCTTCCAGGCTCTACAATTATATATATATGTTTTTACACACAGAATATTTTAAAATAGTAGTCAATAACAATATTAGCGTTTTTTTAAATAATATCGATTTGTAAAGTATGATCAATGCTATTGCAGTTCATTAAAGATGCTTAAATTATAATAATAATAAAGATATAACAGCGAATAGAATATCAACTAAAATTAGGGAAATTTCACAAAAATTCTGGATTATTCAAACCTGGATGGCCAAGGTAATGATAATGACTGGACTAACTTCTTTTGAGTGCATAAATTAGGCTTATTAATATGGATCTCCACAGCCTCAGCAATATTTAGAAGTCGAACTCTTAAAGCGAAATTGAGATTCATAGGTATGCGGTAAATGACCCTGAAAGCATGATTAACGTCAATCTTGTGTTCTGTCTCCACAAGATGCGCCAGAATAGCACTGCGAATAGATTTTGTTTGACCTTTGCTTAACCAGGCAGGGTGATGTTCGGAAATTCGACGAGAAACACGCCTAATTGTACGGCCTATGTAACTGGCTCCACAGGAGCAGTTAAATTGGTATATACACATGGAAGAGGCGAAATTAGGCAGTTTGTCTTTTATTCCCGAACGCAGAAGAGGAGTGGTTTTGAAGATACAGCGCAACTGAGCAGCAGGGAATGCTCTTTTTACCGCATTTCTGAGGCGATATGTTAGTATTTCACTTGTGTTGTCTCCTAGGAACTGCATCTGTAAGAACAAGGATTTCTTTGGAACTGTTGGTACCTTGGATTGTTTTGGTTTTAGATTCATATTCTTATCAATAAACTTTTCAGGATAACCATTCTCACTTAGCAAACGTTTAATATTGTTAAGCTCCTCGTGTATAAAAACATATATATAATTGTAGAGCCTGGAAGAATAATTTATCGAAAAGAATATTCTTTGCTCGATTAATTTGTTTTTATAAAGTGGTTTATGGCGACATCCCATTACACATACAGAAGGCTAATGTGGTTACTGCATCTTTCGGACTTTGAATGGCATGTATTTTGCACAGTATAGCACTTTACGTTACGGTTGAGTTATGACCATTGGAAGTAAAAGTGGAAGGATCGATGACATTCTAACATAGGTGTCTCCCCTGAGTTATTCGCACTAGATGGTAAAAAATGATGAGACCACATATAGTGGCATATAAAAATAGTCATTCAATCGATGACTTTGTGAATCGCCATTGACGGAAGTGGCCTTCCATAAGAACACTATTGTCTAAATCATGATCATTTCAGAAAAGAGTTAGGAATGGTCAGATGAAAAAGTGACGTCAGCTAGTAAAGCCACTATACTTGTGTTTTGGCTAATTTAACTGTTACTTTGAACTGATATCTGTCTGTGCAGAGTTTTATGTGGATTCCTCAGTCAAGCTATTGATTCCTCCACAATATTTCAGTCCAAGTTACTTTGTGCAGTCGTACAGACAACACATTTGAAAACAGATGACTGAATATTTTACTGAAGGAAAACTTACCTGTAAGTACGCAAATTTCTTTTGCTCGATGGAAGACGAGATAAACTGGCTAATATTTCCTCCATTATCAGCGACCGGTGAGTCTCATACTGGGCAAATATTGCGGTTACCAGTTCCAGGGCTGCAAGTTGTAGCTCACCAACATTTTCAACAAAGAACACAGAAACACCAACACTAGACAACGTAAGAACGAGACTATCGGTCAATCTTTGCATTTTCACAAGTTTTGATAGATTAGAGATAATCTCCACGAGTTTGTGATAGAGATGGATTATGGATTTTGGTTTCTGTGCATCGCGTTCACGAGCACGTCGAGATTTAATACTGCTTTGATTTTCTGATTGAAAAACAAGAGATAACGACATGAATTAGCAGACGTCTACTGGTAGTTGATGCAATTATCATAAAAAGTTACAAGGTAATTTATAAATACATCTTAGTAACTATGATTAGTGAATTAAGCATAACAGAATGGGCATGCAAACAAATAAAAATTAAAAAATTTACCAACAGCATATATATATATATATATATTCGCACTATTTCGCGGGAAAAGACTGCTTCACAGAAGTTAATGATACATGTTACAAATAAGCGAATAAAAATGGTTGGATTTCAACCCATCTTAAGTGTACAATATTACTACACAAACGGCATACTATTTCTTGATAAACCGAAATTTATACATTTACGCCATACACTTAGGAAACACTTTACTTATTACGATATCATTCAAGTAAAAGACAACTGATTATTTGAAATCAGCCTAAAAATTACATACAGATAACTTGTAGTGTAGTACTGGTAGAAGGCTAAAAGGCGACCAAATGCGGGAAAAAACATCTGAAAACGGAAACTTCCAGTTTTCCTTAATTATCAGCTTATATAACAGACTAACGAACATATATATATATATATATATATGCTTTAAAAATAAGACCATTTAAGAGTAGATTACTCGTTAGTGTTATCTGAAACGATGTATATCTTGTAGATTAGTGAAACGTTACTATTGATTTAACCAATTAGTGAAAAAACTGTGAAATAATTTACGAAAGTTTGAATTCGTAAATCATCCACCTGAGCTACAAATCTTCTCTATTATAGTATTGGTAATTTGAAAGCTATATTATGTTAAACATTAAAACATGCTAACAAGAGAAACACATTTGAAATTCAATGAAATGAAGCAACTGCTAGCTGCATACAAAACGCCATTACCTTTAGCTGCATTTTCGACACGATAAGCGGGATCGAATTCCGGGTAAATACAATTGAATAACTGAAATCTGACACTGTGTACAGTACGCTCGATAACATCTTCCACATACACTTCTCTGGGCATATCTTTCGAAGTCATCAGCAATAACGCAGTTAGACCAGAGTTCATACTGCGCATTACTCGTTCCATAGCCACCTCTTTCCATAGTTTGCTTTCATGAGCATCAGCTTCCTCTTCCTACACACCGAGTTAAATAAAGTATAGGAAGCAGCATATAAGTGGGAAAAAAATACAAACTGCACATAGATATAAGGACGAAAATACTGAATTTAATAACACGCCCGACTACAAAAATAGTCGGTCCTTAAATATTTAGGATTGCTCCACATTAAAAAAATCAAATAATAGAATAGCTTTAGGACGCTACGCATCTTACAACAATGAGTGGGGAGATGTGGCTTACTAGCTTAAGCACTCGATTTCCAGTCATCAGGTCGTGGTCTCCGATTTCGCTCCACCTACTTCATCTTCGGCAACTGAGTAGTACCACCAGCACTCACACAATAAGCGTGACTCAAAGCCTGGACCATGAAAGACCTATTAGGGGGAATGAGTTTAAACAACAAGTACCGATTAGTGAGGTAATCTCTTGGAGAAAAGTGATCAGCGCGTGAAAAAATTAATAATTACCTTCCGTTTTTCTACCCCTACTATCACCTAAACGATGACCGCATAGAAGTAAAAGTAACTATACATTGAATTCTAAAAATTATTCAGCCCGAACATCAAGGAAATAGCTACCGTTGCATAATAGCGAAGGTATATATTAAGTGTTAATACAATATCAAGCTAATTCACAAACACACTTTCATATCAACAATCATATGGTATACACTAGCATAAATCCTGTACAGGATGATTTAAGGAAATAATTTAATGAATCACTCCAATGGCAAATGAAAGAGAACGGTATAATTAAAATATGACATCTGTATTTTGGAAAACCTTTACTCACAGGTCTTAACACGGCGATCACATTTGCACCATCCCGGATATTTAGTAATAAGAGCGTAAGAAAATTGAGCAATCGTCCAGTGGGAATCTGATTGGCAACACCCACAGAGTTCAATTTCGCAGCATCACGACAGAACTCTGCCAAGTCTTCAGCTGATATAACAGTCTCTGTCAGCAAACTCTCTTTGTCTGCATAAGGAAATCCATCTTCACCATTTGGTTTGCGTGAATGATCATCAACGTTTGATATGCCGTCAAGACTTTTCAAAAGTTCTGTTTCTTCAATGGATTCCAAAATATTTGACAGTCTGTTGAGAAATCGCTTAAGGCTTCCTGTTTCACCTCCTGCATTCGGATCTCTAGACATATTTCGTTTGTCAGGCAAATTATTTGACGACATGACACCAAAACTCACACGTTCACGTCGCTTGCGAGCAGATTCCGATGCTTTACGTATATGCGGGAAGCGGGCTTCCACAGGCTCCTTCAAACGGACTGCAGGTTTTAAATGAGAATCATAATCCATAAAAAATTAATCTAAAGGTAACAGTCATCGTATGAGAACAGCTACTGCAAGACAATACTTCGACATAAAAGTTCGGAACCTTAGATTATAGATAAGCAAATTAGCTGACAGTAGTTATTTAAATAACGACACCAGAATAAACTTACTCTTGTGACAGTTTAATGATTCATATGAACATATGCATAAGTTACGAAAAGCAACGGCACAGCCGGAAGTGAATAGGTTATAGATATATTAAATGGAAGTACGGAAAGGTAATAAAATTTTAAAAAGAAGGGACAACAACGTGAAGAAGAGTAGGAATTGGCCAATTATTTCATGACTGACTCACTGACTGGTTTCAACGCAGAACTTTGCACAGATGTGCAGCAGTTTGAGTTGCCACACTCCATGTAGCATGCAAAGCAAGAGAAGAGAGTGGAGATTTAAAATAGAGAGAGAGAGAGACAGATAATAAACAGAAGTGTGACGCAAAAAGAATAGTAATATGGAAGAACAATAGAATTTTATTGGATATTATAAGTCAGAAGAAGTGGATGCATCTGCGCTATGCATTGAGAACGATTTTGAACCATATCACCAATTGTCTCCAGTTGTCATTGGTGTTTACCGTCCTGAGGACTACAACCACGAAGTTTACACCTCCCTACGTGGCTAACTTAAACTAACTGTTGTGGATTTCATTGACTCATGAAGCCATGTTTTGGTTTGACCACCACTGGCTCTTTTCGAACCTGATCCCATGTCAGCTAACACTGCTCATCGAGGAAGGCCATGATTGGGCATACGTAACACATGTCCTAGCCATCTCAATCAGTGTAACTTCACAACCTCGTCAATTGATCTCTCCTCTTTACCTAGCAGTCGTCCGAAGTCTAGCCTCAATATTGCTAACCGTATCATACCACCTAACACGCGAGACAGAACGCAGGCACCTATGATCAAAGACAGCTAGCCAGCTTCTTCATGTCTTCCACTTTCAATGGCCATGTCTCAGTCACAGCCATAAAGGAGGACGGAGTGGATTGCTGAGCAGTACACACGCCCTCTGGTCGATAGCCGGATATCTCGTCTACGCCAGAGACGGTGTAAACTGGCATTTACGGAACGAGCCTTCTGTATCCGTGCTGAGATTTCGTCAGCGATCAACCTGTTGGCACTGGCTGATGCAACTTCCCAAATAAGTGAAGTGGTCAACGCGCTCTACCACTTCATTTCCTACTTATAAGCTAGGAATCAATGCAGTCCATTCATGTAGCGTCACCTTACATTTGACAGCAGGAGCAAATCGCATGCCAAACATACGAGGATAGCTGCTCAAGGTGCTCAGACGACTCTGCTCTATTTTGTCAGCGTCTTCACCTAAAAGGACTATATCATCTTCATATTCTAAGTCAACGAGATTATTCCCTGATGGTAACAAGTCAATCCCTGAGTCACTGAAGTCAGTTAGGATTAAGTCCACTAGTAGTACATATATGATTAAATTAAACAGAAATAGAGATAGTGGACATCCGTGACGGACACCACTAGTTGCCACCACTTCAGATGACAACTCTCCTAGGGCTCTTACCTGGCTGACTGCATGAGTTCGAGTAGATTGTCTTGATCAGTGCAATGTATTTTCTAGGCATTCCCTTCACAGCCAAACATCGTCAGAGTACCTCTCTGTCGACAGACTCGAATTCCGATTTCACGTCGAGAAATAATGACGACAGTTGGACCCCGGTAAGTATGCTTATGTTCCAGAATCTGTCGAAGGTTGAAGATATGATCAATTCACCCTCTTCCTGGTATAAAGCCCTCATGGTTCTCTCGTGTTTGTTTCTCTCAAGCGCCATTTAGTCCACGCATGATTATTTAACTTACAACTTTGGATGCCATATTGGTCAAGCGATTACCCCTGTGATTATCACAGGAGGACTTGTCGCCCTTCTTGTATATCGGGATAATCAATGACTTACACCAATCCAACGGGACTTCCTCTGATTCTCAGACGCTGCCTAGTGCCTCAGTTAACGCAGACAATAAACTGTCTCCGCCAACCCTAAACACCTTTGGAGTCATTCCATCGGGTCCCTCAACTTCGCCTCGTTTCAGACTAGTGACGGCGGACCTGTGTCTATATCCCATTCAGGGAGGTGTTGGATGTTCGGTAAGTTGAGCGTGGCTGTAGGCCAACTACATTGCCCCTCAAAGAGTTCTTTCCAACGTCCCAGTCGTCTATCCTGAGAGCTAATTATGGTGCCATTTTTCTCAGAGATTGTTTCACTTATCGTTTGCCTTTTACCACTTGTTTCCTTGATAAGCCTAAGTAGCTGTCTGGTGTTACCTATCACCGATGTGTTTTCCGTCTCTTTTGCTTCTGTCGCTCACCGCTGTTCACAGTCGTTACGAAGGTTTCTTATTAGTTTGCTTTTGAGCAGCTTTCGCTCCTCATCACAATCGGAGCTTCCCGGAATCAGTCTTCCTGCGTCAATCAGTTCTGATGAGGTAGTAGAAATCCACTGGCTTTCATAATCTTCGGCGTATTTCATCTCTATAGCAATACCCCGATCGAAAAAGAGAACCGAAAAACTAGTGCAACATTAAAATCAAAGTAGTATTACCAAAAAATTTAAAATCACCTTCAAAGGGCTCATCATCATCAAGCTTCTTTCGTCTTCTAGCACTTGAAGAACCATTTGGACAAGCTGTATGACCAGTCAAGACTTCCTCATCATCATCATCCATGCCAGCATACGAACGATTGGCAGCCCCTGAGCGCATTTCTCTCGTATTGTGGGTGGTTTCGTTGGTCCCGGCAGAATCGTTTGTGAGATCGAGAGTACCACTGGGTTCACTGCTACCATGATCACTGTCTCCATCACTGCAAAAAACAGAGAAATGTGAAGACTAATAAATCCATTCTTTAAAATCAAGCAAACTTTAACTGTAATCTTTCTAAATGCCAATCTAGGACAAAAATTTTCTTTTGCATTATGGTTGCTTACAAGCTTTCGAATCTTTAAGATCTTACAACGAAGCACCTGATATGAATGCTCTTTCCTGTATCGCACATTAAAGATACGGATTCAAAATAGCAAAACATTAAATCATGGAGAATATATCAAAGGTATGCAGAATTCCCTCTGACAATCACATAATTTATTCCTAGATAAAAAAAGCAATGTAGAAGATCGTCATTATATTATAGTAATAAGCATAAAACCCATTAATATCTCTGTTACCGATGAATTATAAAAGAACAACTAACGAACACGGCACTAATTTCTGTTATGCTGGTAAATAAGCATACGTATTAAAGACATTATGCAGGAAGAAAAATTTTCCAAACATGCAGCAACCAATCAATAAACACCTAAATCTTTCAGCCTTCTCTTTTTCAAAGAAAAATTAATTTACATGGTATTAGCTACAACTTATTTGTCGTTAGCAAAACATTTCTTTGTGCTATAGCACCTAGTCTAGCACAAATTACTTAACTCACATACTAAACAAAGGGTTACTGCTTATAGCAACTCGCGCAAGAAAAATCTCCCCTGATTTAACAAATTCACATGCTCTTAATGCATCAAATATCCTAGATTAGTTGCAAAATACAGTACAAACCTGGTAAGCAAACTTACTTCGGATAATCCTTGTCATGCTCAAAAACATAGTCTGGATCCAAATTTCCACCTTGTTTGACCATTCTTTTCCGCTTTTTGGCACGTTCACCAAGGACCTGACTATAAGAACCAATGGCATCATCCCAGGTCCGCTCATCAGGGCCTTTAGTTCGTTCAGCCACAGATTTAGACATACCAGGTCCACTAACTGGATAATTAACAGTCCAAGATTGTAAATCTTCGAGTTCATTTTTCCGACGCTTTCCTAAAACAACGACAACATGCCACATATAAGAAATTGGTGTTAAATAAGGTGACGACTGGGATGTTTGAAAAATATGTCAATAATAACCCCTCTCACCAAACAAAAGCTGGTACTAATGACTTGTTTATTTTAGAAACAAACTTAACTAACTGATAACTTACGTCTTCTTAAAACAGAATTGCTTTTTCGTTTCCACCATGGCTGCGGAGTACTAGTAATCGTTGGTGTGGAGTCCATACGAACAGATTCACGACTTTGGATTCGTGAATCATTTTGATTTTGGACACTTGTAACAGTTTGAGTAGGAGCAGAGAGATAACTTGCAATCCCCATGGGAACATGATGAGTACTGGAATCTGGAGGCAAACCAGGCATATCAAAATTGGCAGCGAAGGTGGCAGGACACACATCTGTGACAGGTGTATAGCAAGAATTGCTTAATATACCACCCAATACGTCGAAAGTGGAGTCAGCAGCAGTAACAGTAGATGATTGACTAGAGTCGATCAAGTGCGATGCGACTAAAAACGAAGAAGCATTAGTGGTAGATGGCTGTGAAGGGAAATTGATCCGCGGAACAGTAGAGCTATCACAATTTGCTAAAGAATTAATACCAAGTGGAAACTGGTTATAAGAAGAATTTGAGGAAAGCATTTCATTTTGCAGGAAATTAGAAGCAAAATCCATCATGTTGCACACAGAACCAAGAGCATTAGGAGCAGATGAACTAGACGGAATAAATAAATCATTAGGGACACTGTCTGCAAGATGTTTGAGTGCCATAGTAGGATCGTTATTTCGTAACAATTCATAGAACATATTTGACTTGCAGGTGAATGCATTAGCCTGTGTGGTCTCGGAAATGCTGTACGTACATGTGAAAGGAGCACAACCACTAGACGTCAGTGCTCTACCATTCCCAGAACTTGAAGCAGGAGTACTGGGAAGGCTAGAAGTAGACTGAGACTGGGGTTGCTGATACAAATTACTCATAGAATTCAAGTTATCAAACAAACCTTCACTTGTCATAAGTGACAAGTCCAATTGGGAAGGATCTTTGGAGTGGCAATTGTGAATAAACGTTGAAGGGGTAGATTCTAATATTTTGCAACCATCGTTAGCTGCTGGTGTGCTTGCGGGACTATTTGTTGTAGGAGTGTTATGTGTTTTGACTGTCATATCTACAGATGATGGTGTTGTCTGTTGAACATGCCTCTCTGCTGGTGATTTGGAAATTTCGTGATGTAATCGATGGTCACGATCTTTTTCTTTATTTCGCTTCTTTTTCTTTTCCTTTTTAACCGGTTCAGCACCACCCACTTGTTCCACCATAAAAACGGGCTGGGAACCATCGTTTGTGGGGCGTTTAAAAATCTTTAAAGAAAGCTTTTTAGTATCATCATTCACTTTCACAACACCGTACGTTGAAGCAGGAGACAAACAATTGTCATCAAATTTATTCGGAGTGGTGCCACCACAAGCCGCTGGAGTAGTAGCATTTGATTCACCTCCCGTTTCACTTGTATCACCATCCTCATAATGTTTATGCTTCTTTTTCTTACGCTTCTTTTTCTTTTTATTGGGTGATCCACTTGGTTCTTCAAATGCTAAAAATTTTAAAAAATTACTCTAAATCGGAGACTCATTCAGAACGAACTAGAAGTTATAAGCAGAACAAAACACAACAGTACAAACATTGGACATGGTAATTACAATGTTCACATTAGTCTCTACTGAAAAGCATTCGCATTAGCTAGAAAATTAGTAGGGATTTAAGTAAGTGTTATAAAGTATAGTCACGTGAACAAAAGTATTTAGGTTTCTTCACTAATCATAATCAAACTCCAGTTTCATAAACTGTGTAGATACGCACACCATGTATTTACACTTGTAAGTCGCACACCACACTACTGCAAACAATGACACCTTAGTGAGATTAAATGAAAAACGCCTTTTGAATATGACCAAAGCCTACTTCAGTGAGACAACGAACTGTAATACTTCAGAAGGCTGGTCTGGTAGGCAGTATATGTTTGAACTCGATGCAAAAGCACAAACAAAACACACTGCTAACAGGTAAAGCTAACCGAACGACTAGGCAATTCAGCATACATAGGAAAACTTCAGTATGTAACCAAAAAATAAACCAGTAATGATTGTTTCTTTTGCACTGTTGCAAGTTAGTAACCGCAGTGCACGAATTTCCAAAAGACTGACTTCTGATCAGCAGGAATATGTAAATGAAGATGAATTACGGGAGACAGAAAGCACTCATTTGCTTCTCGTATTCTATCCGGAACTTTTCCACTATCTGATCGCCAAAGTTTATGAGGTCTTAAACTCACTTGAATGCGACAACACACGTAACCTCTTCACTCTATTATAAAAAAAATTAGCAGAAATGTCAACAAATAATTGGTTTTCTACTAACTGCTCAACCGTCCAATTGCAAAATATGTTTGCGGGACAATTAGGTCAAATCTGGATCAATTATGATATGAATTGGTTGCATCATGTTGTTACACTATTTTGAGGTCTATTCTTAGCATGAAGGTAATCATTACTGAATTAAATTATAGGTGATGAGATACGAAAACGAGCCAGTCATTTATTCAACAATCACTTTAAATCTAAGAATTGAGTTGATCACATATCGGTCAATAACAAGTGATTGTCAGAAAAATTCATCATGGCCAATTATTCAGTGCTCCATATGTACATACATGAACGAACAAATTTCTAGAGCAATTACCACAAATTTTCCGAACTGAGTTAGGGATGATTTCAACAAGTTCTTAGACAGTGCCATTTGGTACTTCTAGTAGGTTCATATTAAGAACACATGCTTAAAATCCACATACTTTTGGAGCAGTAATCAATCAGATGAAACAAAATAAAAACGAAAAGGTTACGATAATATATATGTAAAATAATTTCAATAATACAATGAACTTACAATTAGGATAAAGATGAGTCTCAGAAGAAAGTGGTTGGTCTAGAGATGAACCCCAGGAACTAGGCTGTACTTTATATGCATTAGTAACAGTATTAACTTGATGATATGACTCTTGAGAAGATAGCCCATAAAACCCTCTTTTTTGTTCGAAAACAGGTAGTTTTTTTAAGGAGCTAACAAGAGGTTCGGGCAATAGATTTGGATCGATTATATCACTAGCAAATCCTTCCTTAAAATCACTGGTCACATTATACAAAAAGATTCAGAAATGACTTACATATTATTTGTACAAACATTCCCAAGGGCTTCACTAAGGTAACCCACAAGTTGAGCATGACCAAAGTGAAGACTGTGAGAAGGGTCATATAACAAAGTTTCTGCACTGGATCCAGAATGTAAAGGAGTGGGCAACGGTAACTCAGGTATAATATCCGTTAAACTAACTACAGCACTCAGTGACTGAATAGGGATGCGGGAGATATCGCCGTTCATCCCACTAAACCCTTTTTGAAAAACAGAAAACAATGAATTAAGTCGAAAATAGTTGTGGTATATGATTAATATCAAGTATAAAACACCGAACATTGAATTTTCCTCCTGTATACCTGCTTTCAGTAAACTACTAACAATTTGTGATGCCCGCTGTCAACCAGTCTTTTCACCTTTGCTTTACCTGATTCTATTGAGGACAACCATCTTTAAGAATTCTTTAAATCCGCAAGCTATTTTAACAACTACATAACACGACATACAGCTCCGTCAGTTGAAATCGGATCAAAAAGCGCGAGTACATCTGTTTAAATGTTCAGAGATGGAGCGAACAGATAGATACCGAAGAACATATACAACAGCCGTGATTACATGTCTTCACTTAATAAGTGGAAACAGCAATTAACCTCAGCGATACCACAGTAATAAACCGGATGTTGTACGACTTTATGAATACAGATTCCCAAGATGCCACATGAACATGTAGAAAAGTCTTCCGAACGTGCCACTAATCTGAGAAATAATTATTTATTCCATCGGAGAAAGCTCATTTACGAAAAATAGTTTTTATTATAGAGAGGACCAATGGCAATGTACGTTTTGGTTGAATATGTGTTTGCTTTGTTATCTACATTAAGTGAAACAGCACGGTCAAGTTGAGATAAAATGTGACCTTAGGTACGAAAAGCTCCGCAGCTTATTGCAATGTTCTTCAACAAGGGGGTCACAAGCTTTCATCCCGCTCTACCTACTGAGGTTTGGAAAACCAGACACCAGCCCTCACGATATATATATATATATAATTCTACCTAGTAGTGGTGGTGAGACGGATAGCCATAGGTTACCCAAACATAGTACTTTAGGCTGAAGTGCGATAGAAAGCTGGAACATAGTTCGTAAATACACAGACAAGTTTGAACAATGTATGTAAGTTTCAATATGATATGCTTAGAAAAGTAAAAATAAATTCATAAGCAAAATGTAATTTACATAAACATCCTGCATTTATAGGTGGAGAGAAGTAAGATTCTCACCTACAGGTGCGTGATGCCAGTACAATAATTAACGACAGAATCTAGTATATTTAATGAGCATATCACACGTGGAATCGATCAAACCAGAAACATAAGAATGTCGTAGCTGGAGGAAATAATGCTTCCATTCTAATCATTCACGCATAAGTTGCAATGCATATGCACGAATAACTGAAAAACTGGTTGAGTAATATACAAAAAAAAATCCTAATACAGCTACCTCACTGTCACACATTCCACATGCACGTGAAGGGAGACGATTTACCCGTTAATACCAAAACCACACAAAAGACCAAGACAAAGAACCACGTAAACAAATGCTAAGATTAAAACAAAGGAAAGAACAGAATAAACCGCAACCATCCTAAGACATGCTAGGAACAATTAACAACTATTGGTTGCGGTTAATTACAAATCACGAGTGCATTTTAATTCCTCATGTAGCTTAAAGTCGGCAGTTCACAGCCCTGTGAAAATGTCGTGCTTTCGTTTGAACATAGGTCTAATCTTATCTAACTCGGAGGATGAAACAATATAAACTTTAAATCATAAAGATACTGATGATGGGAGTTTGTGTTATCTGAGGATCAAGAAAAACAGGTTTATTTCACCTCTCAACCCAAGTACTGATATCAGTCTCCAACATATATCCTGAAGACAAGCATTTTACTGTATAAAACTTAGGACTCAGCGATATCTGCTAGCGTTGGTTATGACGATTTTAAATTTAGACATTTAATGTCCTAAAATGTTTACAAAATTAAATAGTTTTGTGGGTGAAAAGAGGGGCATATATTAGCTAAACTCAGCATTTAAGGCACATCATCTTACACAACCTGAAAGCATACCATGAGATTCAATGACAACACTTACATGAATGCCACCAAGTGTAATATCTCTCAAACTCAACTGTTCTCTACAGAACATACCTGAGTTAGCTAATTGATTTAGCGACCGAGTTAAAGCTAATAGACTATCAAATAATTTAGTGCTTTTGATAATAAATTGACAAGGGTCCTCTTTTCTGAGCTGTGATCACATATTCCTGTGTATTTTGACAATGACAAAGCGGAAGCATGCACAAATTGCAAAATGACCTGGATCATTTATGTGAATAAGAAAGTTTTCACAGAAGTTTGGAGGGGCGTGAGTGCTAACAGTACAAATATCAGATTGGAACTCCCATTTGAAAGATGCACATCTAAGACTCGTAGACAAAATATTAATGGATTTTAGTTGCTCGAATAAAAGCAGTTAAGCTTACTAAATCACAGATTTATGACAACCCGACGTATAAAGTGATAACCACAGACTCAGACAGAACAAAAGAGAAAAACGCTGAAATAGACAAAAATGAATTGTACGAAAAGGTGGAAATTTGGTGGCGAGTGTTCGACACTTGGAAAACGAGTGTTGGCAACTGCAATTCGGTAAAAAATTCTAACCATCGGTACTTAGCATTCAGAGGCAATTATACAAAAGCAAACATTTCCAAACAGCATTGACTAATGGAAGACGGCTTCATGTGTGCCACGGATTTCTATTTCTAACCCACACGTAATATTTCTGGCCATCTAAGTGGATGAAGATTCGCTAATACTAAGTATAACAGTATGGGACCACGCGGAAATACACTGCTTCATGTCAGCACACCAAAAAAGCACAATGAATTTAGTTTTAGCGTCACAACCATGTAAAAATAGAAGTCCAATGCATACAGAAATTTGCACAATTCCACTTGATAAATTTAAGTGGATGTCCAAAGAAAAAGAATGCACCAACAACCTTCAAATGACTAATCGCATTAACTCCACATATCTGGACCAAATAAGTTAGACATTCATAACAAATAAAAGTATACTGATATTAACCTGTCTAATATTCTCGCCCTTTTACAGCATTCCTTTAGGAAGACGATGCTTCTAAATTTCATCCTAATTACGCGTCCCCTAAAACGCCAATCCACATGTACCCATATGAACCTGAAGTTCCTTGCCAGCTACATTTATCTTTCAGTCTAGAATATCGTCACCACAGTTCAAAGCTCTGACCAACAAGCAGCACTGAGATTCATGGTCAGTAATGATAGCGAGAAAACTGTCCATTAACTGTCGCAATAGAAAAGACAAAGTCAAGTGCAACTGAATAAACATTACCAGATGATCTAATATACAAAGAAAGCACACTCAAGTAGTGAAACTGCTGTTTGATAGCGATGCGAAGGTCTCTACGAAACCATACTTTCAACTCTAGAACAGTGAGTAATCCAGCCTTTGGAGTCAAAACTGTGACACAACTGGATTACTCCACCCATGGTTTAGCACAAGAAAACTAAAACTCTGGATGACTAACCGGTCACCATGAACATCTGCTATTAATGCCCGGAAACAGGCGCAGAATACTGAGTTAGTGTCAACGATGCTGACAAACAAGACAGTTTTATTTTGCGAGGAACATCCAACCATTTAAGAGTCATTACAGAAATTACTCACTACAGACAAAAGCTTTAATTCGAAATTTGCTAGCTTTATTACAGCATTATCGTACGCCTGGGGATGTATTACAGAAAACTACTTGATTCCAATTATTCCTACAGAACTTCCACAACAACTGCTAATACCTAATGAGAACATCTTTCAAAGCTTGAAATCAATAATAACGTGATGATAATTCTTATCTTTACAAAAACTTAGTGCGCAGTAGTTGATTTTGCTGTCTAGGTGGTATACCTTCGCAAGGGGTAGTTTTCATACCGCTCGAAATTCTTAAACGTATTATGACAACAAATCAATCTTAAAAATACGTTCAACTTACCTTTTTAAAAGCCATAGACCATTTAGATCAAGGAAATAAAATATAAAACAACCTTTACACCTGCGGAGACATATTAACTAGGTTTGCTACATTTAAACAAATGTACTACTTAGTACTGAACCTTGAAATTGATGAAAAGTTTAAATACTGTCTTTGCTGTCTCTTTGTAAGTTAAAGTGAACCAAAGCTTTGCTTATGAAGGATTACTGCTTGTTCTGCATTTTTGACAAAGTCCCATGGCCACAAACTGTCAGCAATGGTAAATAATTCCTAGTCATCACTGAACACTACCTGCCAGTATTACTATTTGATAGATTTGTTTACATAAAGATACTCACTTAGTAAGCTCACCACTTCACTCAGTGATCCGTTATGTCTTTTTCTTCATGATCACTTGCAAGATAGTGTCGTTCATCACCTGGTCACCTAAGTCAAAAACCCAAACGATAACAAAATAAACAGCTGATAGTTTGGATGGACACTCAACCGAACAGGCCTCAGTCTCATTTAGCCTTTCCGTTGTGCTGATTAGCCTACATATTTTCGGAATCCCTGATTAGTCCGATCCTAAATCCCTCATTAGTCACCTTACTGTTGGTAACTGTTTCTCTTATAGGCACACGTACAAGTAATTTGTCTTCCAAAGTTTGCCTCCCTATTACAGGTGATTAAGTGAGTACTAGAGACAAACAGTTTTAGTGATTTTGGGGAAGAGTTACATACCAATAGTCCTCACAATATGTCTTATTCAGATGTGCAGACGTCACAAAGAGTTAGACCAATTCCAAATTGGGTTACCAATGTCCGGTTTACTTGATTATATTTTCACACCCTCCCTTCCTGTTTCCTTTTTTCTACTTGCACCATACTCTTAAGTCGCCTTCTTACCCCTTATTTGTGACTTTTACTCGTACGTATTTTGACCTGCGTCGCAATAATTTATGCTCTCTTACCTACCATATAGATGTGTTTGGTGCCTGTGTGGTAAGAATGTCCGATATGTGTTGCGCAATGTCTTTTTGTTTGGTCGAAACTCATGATGGGGACTAACCGCATTACATTTTCCCTGTTTACTTGAGCTAGCTGAAGTCAGGCAATCATTAGACCTCTCCATTTGATCCTTCGTGTATGGTCGTAAGTTAACTACACACATCAGTCCATTGACACTAATCTTAAATAATACGTCACGTTTCAAAGGTCAGTTTCTTGTCCATCTTGACTTGCTAACTGATTCTGGCCAGTGATAAATACCCTTACTATAGCTACTATCGTATTCATGCACGCGTAGCTGTGTAATACCAAAGCATTGCAAACTTCATCAGACAAGGCACCATTTAGGTCAACGGATTATTCTTAACATCTCTAGAGCCCTAGAAGAAATCAAACTTTGAAGAAGAAAAATACTCAAATTCAACATCTGTTCTAACGCCCAGATGTGACGCCGTTGCTTTTATTGTATTCACCGCTTGGTTACTGACATTTCGCCTCTAGCGGCACCCATTTCCAACGATAACATTTCATCATTTTCACGCCTAAAAATCACAATTTCGTAAGCACTCTTCTGTAACTTCGCGAAAGGTTTTGTTAATCAGAATAAACCCCATATATCTAAGAAATATGTCAAAAAGCGATTTATCCAGAGCGATATTGTGCATATCAAATTTTCGGAGTCAGCAGTGTTCAAACAACCCGAGTCTTAATAGGATTTTCATTTCAAATGCGAGTAATGGACAACATTCGCAGATAGAGTAGTTTTATTTAACATGCTACACACAGATATAATGTTATACGTGCACAGATGTAAAGCATATCTTGCGATAGGGTTGATGCGAAAGCATATCAAAAGAACTATTACCAATAAATGGATAGGGAATCTAAAAGTCACGTTGGTATTCCAGTAGGATTATGAGGAACAAACTGTCCTCGAAACATCATAAATAAATAAATAGATAAATTTATTCTCACAGTACACTACATGAGGGACGCCAGTTTACAGGCATCATCAAATTGTTACAGAAATAGGACCAGATAATTCAATCACAATTTACAGGCGGCAGCAAGATATTTATTTATTTATGATGTTTCGAGGACAGTTTATTCCTCATAGTCCTATTGGAATACCAACGTGACTTTTAGATTCCCTATCCATTTATTGGTAATAGTTCTTTTGATATGCTTTCGCATCAACCCAATCGCATGTTTTTGATGTCAGTTTAACCAACAAGGGTTCAGGGAACATTCTCCCCATGCGTCTAATTTGTGGTTCCGGGGATAGTCCTATTATTCTACTCAATTGCACGCATGCATCTGTTTTGAATTTCTCATCCTACACTCTAATTTCTATTTTTCCACTATCTAACTGAACCGCATAAGTAAGATATAATTACATAAGCGAACTCACAGTGTCTTTATAGCGTCTTGCAGACTGGCTTCTGTTTAACAGGTAAACGGAAACCACTGGCTTGCAACGACACTGTCTGGAAATGTTTGTAGGCTATAATATAACCCCTTGTTATTAATCTTGCTTAAGGTCCCAGATGTTTCTTCACTATATGATCGGAATAACCCTTTTCCGTTGTCTATTATTAGCAACTATCCGGAGCACAAGCAGTAAGTTCCAATTATCGGTATATTGTCTAAATAAGTAAGAAATTCCGGAATGCTGGCTAAAGTGTTGTGCACTGTATAATATATGTTGTTATTAAAACAACAAGGTTGTGATTACGATCATAATAACAAGAATGTTTATTCTCACATAAACAAATTCACATGGGAAACACACTGTTTTTAAGAGCACGTCTAAACTTTATGTAATTTCATTTATCAAAATGTCAATAAATTTGTATCGTTTCGATAGTTTAAGTGGTTGATTCGCATAATACGTTGTCATAACAGTGCCACATTGTTCTTAGATTGTAAAACTATTGTAGTGTACATTGAACCTTCAAACTTTTGTTTGAACGGACTCACCTGACCTTTAGCACCACTTCCTCTTCCATTCGTGAATCTCTTGTACGGTTTTGGTTTCTCTCTCGTTGTGCTTTCATCCGGCACACTCCGAGCTTACCACCGTCTCGACTGCAGATAAGTCATAACCTCTTATTTATATCAAATCTCATATTGCTTTTGTGTAAATAAAACTCTTTTCCAGTCACGCTAGTCAACTCAAGTCTTTTGACCCTGATTCAGTTCGTTAGTATTTGCACGTTAGGCAGAGTACAACTAAGGTCATAAAGCGGTGAAGTTTTTGTTAGAGTGATTAATTTAGGTCTAAGTTAAACCAAGTCTAACTCTTACAAGTGGTGAGCCCGTGTTTTCACCGTTTACCTCCATAGTAGCTTAACGTGTTAATAGTCCTTTTTCATATTGGCAATTTGTTTTTCACACAGAGTTATAAAATTTTACTTGCCCTGTTTTTACTCATATTTTTTGTTATCATATTTGTTGTTGTCATTCTATTAATACATCGTCTGGTTCGCAAGATGGCCGACAACAGTTCCGCCTCACAAATGGCGATCACCTTGCAACTCCCTACCTTCTGGACACATCGTCCTGTTGCATGGTTCGGCCACATCGAAGCTATGTTCGCTCTCCGACATATACACTCACAAGAGACAAAGGTGAACCTGGTTATCGTGAGTCTTCCTGAGAACGTCATGGAAGAAGTATTTGATGTCCTCGCGGACCCATCTCCTGACTTGTATGAACGTCTCAAGCAGGCGCTAATTAAGCGCGTTGCACTTACCGACCAACAGAAAGTGCAGGAACTTTTCAGAGATGTTCAGCTCGGTGATAGATAGCCCACTCAACTGTTACGTCAGATAAGACAGTTAGTGGCTGACTTCAAAATAGATGATGCCTTTTTAAAACAGCTGTGGTTACAACGATTGCCACAGGCGATTCAGACCATTTTAGTTCCAATCAACCATTCCCCCTTATCCGAACTAGCTGAGGCAGCTGATAGAGTAGTGGAGACTACTACATCCAACATGAACATTTCGGCTGCCGTAACCGCTAGTCCCATTCAGACTTAGGACTCCTCTGCCGAGGGGTCATCAAACTTAGATGTGGTGGGCCACGTAACTAAACTTTATGAGGAGATATGCAAGTTAAGACAGGAGATGACACCTAGAGGTCGTTCGAATAGCCGCACCAACTCGACTCGTGGTAGATCTTCTTCACAAGCTGGCAGCAGGCGTCGTAGGTCTCAAAATTCCCAACCTGGAGTGTGCTGGTATCACCGGCGTTATGGTGACAAGGCCCAAAAGTGTACTTGCCCGTGCACCTTCGATGTCCAGCAAACGGGAAACCAGCAAGCCAGCACGTATTGGCGACTAACGTCGCTGGCGAACCACTTCCATGTCGCCTCTTCTATGTTACTGACCGTAACACTGGGACACGCTTCCCGGTTGACACTGGGGCGGAAGTTAGCGTGATTCCACCAACATCTGAAGAGCGCCAGAAGCCACTTTCCTTACAGCTTCGCGCCGCAAACGGTTCGCCAATCACAACGTACGGTAAAAGGTTCTTAGATCATAACATAGGCTTACGTAGATCATTTCGTTGGGTCTTCCTAGTGGCAGATGTAACCACCGGTATTATTGGCATGGATCTCTTGCAACATTATCAGCTACTGGTAGATGCTGGCAAAGACAAATTGATCGATTCAGCTACAAACCTCTCGATCTCCGGTGTTGTGACGTACACACCTTCATTAAGTCCAGTATATTCAACCCCTGCCTCTAACGGCCCTTACGCTGAGGTTCTCCAGTCCTTTGCCAACCTGTTCAAACCGGTTTCCAAACTTCCTCGTGTGACTTGTACTGTCACTCATCATATCGTGACAACAGGTCCGCCTGTATTCGCAAAGCCCCGGTGATTGTCCCCAGAAAAACTACAAGCCGTAAAGGCCGAGTTCGAACATATGTTAGACACGGGGATAATCCGTCCATCCAGCAGCCCGTGGTCTTCCCCTTTACATGTGGTACCTAAAAATAACGGGATAGACTGGAGGCCTTGTGGGGACTACCGCAGACTTAATGCGCAGACCGTGCCAGATCGCTACCCTGTGCCACATATACATGACCTTACATCTTCCCTCAAAT